AATAATTTACGCCAAACATTAACTAATTCGAGCCATCCCTAGTTGCATTGTTGCTTTCGCTGTGTGTGTGTGGTGTGTTGTTTTCATGTTTTCATTGTGCATATTCATCACTTGGAGACGCCGTACATTGCGCTGTGTTTTCATAGTGATTTGATATTAAAATTGGGATTAGTCTTAAAGGTAATTTTATACCAGCTAACATATAAGATTTTAATTTGATCCTTTGATTTTATAAACTATACTTTCAATTATCCAACCTTAAAATCATTAATTTTAAATAATTTTTTTACAATCATTGTTATTTAAAAAAAATAATGTGTCAATATTTAAAAATATTGTATCGTTATTTAAAAATTTAATATATAAATTTTTATAATGAAACTAACTATATTAAATTTAAAGAACTAAAAAATTATAAATTTAAAAAACTGACATACAATTTTACATAAAATTAAGTGACTAAAAAATATACTCCTCTTTGACTCTTGAGGTTGCAATGAATGAGCCATTGAAGAAGACCGTGACAAACGGACGCATGAGATCAGAGTTTCGATCCTCATCATAAGTACAATATCAAGATTTTTCAGTTATTAAAATTTAATCAATACAAATATATACTTTCTCCATTAAAAAATATAAGACATTTTTTAAAGAGTTAAATATTAAAAGATATAAGGTATTTTTAGTTTTTTAAAATATAATCATTGCTTTTTTTTAAAAGTGTCTCTATTGATGAATTACTTTATATTTATTGTAGAGTATTTAATAAGAGTAAATATGAAAAGATAGGGTTAATTTAAAAGTAGGTAACTACTTTATTGAGGGTGAGATTCTATTAAAAATATTTTATATTTTTAAACGGTGGGAGTAATAATTTAAGGAACCAAAAAAGTGTCATATTATTTCTTTAAGAATAAACAGTAAATTATGTTGAAAAAATAAATTAAATTTGTGTGAAACTATTTCTTTCTTTCTTTTTACAAACAGAAAGTTTTTTTGTATAGATATTCTCTAGTAAATGTTATATAAATAATATTTGAGTATCCAAAAAGTGAAAATCCATATCTTAGTTTATCTTTCTTTTTAACTAATTTGTGCGAAATTATTTCTTTCTATCTTTTTAACTAATTCGAGCCTTCCCTAAGCAGCAAGCGTTTTTGAAAAGTATATAAACGGATAATAAATTAAAATCCATTCAAATGTATTTTGGCCTAAAATTAGCTAGTTTGCTTTCAAGTAAATTGAAATATACTATTTAACATTTTAAATAATATATCATAACTCATCAATCGCCTGATGATTTTCTTTTCATCTTAATTTTAACAAATATTGGGAATATATTGTACTTTGAAATTTAAATTGATACCAAAACTTAATTATCTTACCTGTCATTATTATATCAATATATAAGTTACGATGAAAATTGAATTGTCAGTTCTCATCCCTTTTGATATTAGATCTATTAGGATTCTCAAACTACTTCTATTTAAATTACTCTCGAGTCCTAAGTAACTTCCTATTTCACAGACTTCAACTTCTCTCTCTCTCTCTCTCTCTCTCTCTCTCTCTCTCTCTCTCTGTGTGTTCATGGATTCTTCATGCAAGCTCCGTCTCTTTCTCATTCTCTTCACCACACTCATCATCACCATATCTGCAACCCCACAACCACGAGCTTGTGAATCATGCCAATCTCCCAATACTGATAATTCTTTAGCCCTCAACCTTTCTGTCCCATGGAACTACGACCTGCACTCTTCTTCAACGGTGAATAACGACGTTTGGCAAGAGAGCTATGTTTTGAGGACGATAATGCTCCTGCATTTGGTCATCGAAAAGTACTCAAAGCTATCAGATTTTTCTACTTGTATCTGCGCAGAGCATATCTGAAGATTTTACATCAAAACCTCTCGACTATATGGGAAATCATTAATAATGATCTGTACGTGAATAAACGTGCACTGGTATCGCTAAGTGCAGGTCTTGGACTTGAAGCCTTGGTCGCTGGCATATACTTGGGCCCAAACGAATCTCATCACGAGAACAGAACATGCAATAGAGTTGGTTGTGCAGTGATTGCTTTTGCCTTGTACAAAATAATCATCACCAGATTCTCCTCCATTGATCCGTACTCTCTCAGCAAGTGGGCCAGCCCTTTTAGATTCGGAATTCTCATGTGTTGTGTGATTCTCTTTTTGGAACTCCAAAGAGAATTAGCCAATGCGTTCTTCGCAGAAGAAGAAGATGATGATGAGGATGAGGAGGAAGTATAAGTATTCTGGTGAGAGTTCACAGACAAGACTGTCAGGAGCCATGCAAGAGCAAGAGATTCAAGTTATCTTCTACTGGCTTTGTGTTTATTTGGATGTGTTCATTATGAATTTAGTTTAATTTTGAAAACATTGATTAGAATGACGATAAAAAATACTTAGAATTTCGTCTTACGCACGTGCGTCTTTAGAGAGAGAGAGAGAGAGAGTTCAGATTAGATTGTGCACTGTGGCTTGTGATATTTTCCGTATTTAATTTTTATGAAAATATAATGTTATTCATTCAAGAAAAAAATATCAACATTAATGCATGAATATGCCGAGCATAGCACAAGTACTTATCTATCTACCTAGTTTATAAAAATTATGTAAATAATTCATAATCCCTGCACCTCTCTCCCCCCACCCCACACACACACACTCATGTCTCTAGTAACAATCGTGCACACTTCAAAGTTTAAACATGTTCCACAGGCTAATTCTCTCTTTAATTAACAATTTACCATGCTTAGAAGTTAGAAAGTTTAAAATTTTTCATGCATTATTCTATCAAAAAAATTGCATGCATTAAAAATAAATTTTTTTGAATTTAAATCTTCTAAAGTTGAAATTTATAAATTTCTGTTTAGATTTATATTTTTAGTATTTTTTTCATTTTATTATTTTTTATAAAATATAAAATCTTGTCTTGCTTTCTTTAAAAGATAAATCTTACAGAAATTTAAAGATTCCAACTTTGGAAGATTTAGATCTAAACTGTCAAACGTATTCAACTGCCTATCTATGAAGAGATTTGCACAAGCTTTTAAATAAAAAGTATTAACAAATTTGAATTAAGTGATTTAACGGCCTGTCTATCAAGATTGCTTATCATAGAAATTTATTCGGTACAAAAAACATCATAGTTTAAATAAAAATAATTTCAAAATAAGAACATCATCATATTATTTATTTAAAAATATAAATTATTTTTGTGAATATATTTAAAACTATACAGCTATGAAGTTTACTAATAGTACTGCACTCTTTTATCGAAAATTTGATTATTTGGGTGGAATTCCTAGCTACCTATTCAATATTCTGTTTTTTTTTTTAATCATAAGTATGACTTGATCGCCCAATGAGCGTTTTCACAAAATAAATAAATACTCCCTCTGGTGTAAAATTTAAGTATTTTCTTTTAGATAATTTTTGTTTAAAATATAAGCAACTTAATACATATAAAAAAAATTCATTTTATCTCCTATAATTACTCCCTCCCTCTCAAATTATAAGATATTTTTAGAAGAATTTTGGCATCTCAATGTACAAGAAGATTTAAGAATATTAAAGTTTTATTAAATAGATTCATTTCAATATTACCCTTCTTCTTTATTTAATTTTCATCCCTCTTTTTTAATATATTACTTATATAATATTTCAGAAGTTTATTTTTGTTTTGAAAAACTAAAGTTGTTAAATGTATTTAGTAAGATTTATTTATATGTGAGATTTTGTCTAAAAGTATTTGAGATTTCAACCTATATCTTTGTATAAATTTATCTCTCACTATGAAATACATTGGTAATTGAGATTAAGGGTAAAAATAAAAAATATTATATATTTTTATGAGAATGAAGACTTTATTAATATGCAATTTTTTAAAAAAATTTCTTATATTTTAGATTGGAGAGAGAGTAAGTATATTTGTTTTAACTTATTTCATGAAAAAATCACTTATTTTTGAAAAAATTTATTTTTATTTTTTAAATAATGAGAATAAAAAATAAAATTATTAAAAAAATATAATGTGATAGATGAGAGAGAGTGTTTTAAAAAAATGAGATAAGCAAAGATATCATAAAATATTTATAAAATAAAAATTAAGGAAGATATCACAACATTTAAAAATTACTAACTAATAATTATTTTTTTATTATTATAACAAAACAGAAAATAATGTCTCTTTTTATAAAATCTCTAAAAAATAATTTTTTTTGTAAAATCTCTAAAAATTGCCGAGAAAATCCATGGCCACGTCTATCTAGCTAGAATTTTTAAAAATAAAAGAGGTAGATAAATTAAAATTCACTCTCTGATCTATTTTGACTGAAGATTTGTTTACTTAATGTAAACTAAATTATAATATCCAACCACCAATAAAATATACAATTTAAAGCTTTTTTTTTCCAAATCTATCTAGCTAGATTTTCACAAATAAATAAAGAGTTTCAATAAATATCCATGGCCAACTCTATCGTTAATCCGTCTGGCTGGAGTTTCACAAAATAAATAAAGAGGTAAATAAATTAAAATTCACTCTACCTATTTTGACTGAAAATTTGTTTATTTAAGTGTAAACTAAATATATTATATTCAACCTTCATAATTAAAATTTCATAATTTAAATATTTTGTAGGAAAAAAATTCTATTATCTTATCACTTCATCGCCTTAAGAGTTTTCGTTTTAATTTTAATAAAAATATTCAATAAGAATTAAAATAATAAACATAGTGAAAATTTATTATACTTTAAAAATTTAAATTTAAATTGTATCAACTCTTTCATTATCTCTCATAATATCAATATAGATATAGATTATTAATTTAATTATGAATTCTTATCCTATTTGTATTCAGATTCTCTATATAGATGATAAAAGCCATGAATGAGACATCTATATAAAACCCTACGTCTCCTATATATACTTGCCATAATCTCTCTATCAGTACGTCTTCCCTAAATCTCTCTTTTCATGGATTCACTTCGCAAACTCGCTCTCTTTCTGGCTCTCTTCTTTGCCCTCATCATCTCCATCATCCCTGTAACCTCACAACCACAAGCCTGCGAATCATACAAGTTTCCTAACACTAAGAATTTTGCAGCCTGTACTGACTTGCCCTTTCTTGATTCTTCTCTTCACTGGAACTACTACTCTTCTTCGAACTCTGTGGATATCGCTTTCAAGAAGAACAGAGCCAACCCTGATGGCTGGATTGCTTGGGCTATTAACCCTACATCCAGAGGCATGGTGGGCTCTCAGGCATTTGTTGCGTTTCAGAAATCTGATGGAACAATGGCGGCTTACACCTCTCCGATAACCTCGTATGGTACCACGTTGGAGGAAGGCAGTGTCGTTGGATTTGAGGTTCATGGCGTTTCTGCGAGTTTAGAGGATGGTACGATGATCTTATACGCTAGCTTTCGGCTTCCTGGGAATTCGACGACGACTGTGAATCATGTTTGGCAAGAAGGCTCTGTTTCTGATAATGTTCCTCAGTCTCATGGCTTGTCCCGACCCAACCTTAGATCTTTTGGTCAGATGGATTTTCTCACTGGCAAAGTTTCTGATCACGGTGCCAATTTAGATAACTCCAGGATTTTAATCAGAAAAGTAAGTCTATTCCTCTTTGCTTGAGATATATAGCCAAGTTTAGAGTTTTAAGATTTAATTTTTATAACTATATAATTGATTTGTGCTTCAATTTATTCATGGGACTTTTGCGCCTATAAGAGGATCAAATAAAGATAATAGCCTAATATTTTAAATATTTTGTAATGTGGCCAAATTAATATTTAAATTAAATTGAAATGATAAAAGAAAAATCCTCCTCAAATCTAAAATCTTATTCTCATTTTTAAATCTGAAGTATACTATATACAGTAACCGGACGGTGAAGTATTCAAACATTGAATTGATATATGGTTGTAAATGATCTACAATTATAATCATTCTGTTACGAGAATTTTGCTATCTTGTTACACGAGTTTTTTTGTTTTGTTTTGGAGACAAAAGGAAAAAATGTATATTATGTACACTAAGCTGACGGTGAAGTGTTCAAATATTAGAATGATATATGGTTGTAAATAAGCTATGATTATAATCATTCTATTACGAGAATTTTGCTATTTTGTTACATAAATTTTTTTCCTTTTCGAGATAAAAGGGAAAAATTACACCCATAAATGGGTTACATTTCAAAATTTTCAAAAACTTCTTCTATAATTTCTAGTTAATATATTTTTCATGGCTATTAGGCTAATTTACTCCTTATTTTTATTTATTAAAATATGTTGTTTGCATGAGTTTAATTTCCTTTTTTATTGTTAATCATTAATTAATAATCTAACACAAGATAAGAAAAAAAATAACTTGGTTATGACATACAGTATATTCACAATTTAATCTTTTGGATAAACCCGCTCCTACACTAATTAAAAATTATGGAGATTGTCATTTTTTCCATTATTTTTAAGTTTTTACTAACTTGTTTAGATCTTTAATTTAAACATGAACAGCCAAGTAGGTTATAAATTAATACTCCCTCTGATTTATTTTTTACAAGATCTTATTGATAAACTACTTTTATGATATTAAGAAAATTAATAAGAATTTGTTAAAAAAATTTATAAATTTCCAAAATTACCCCTTAATTAGTATATATATATAATTCATTTCATTATAAGATAGGGAGACTGGAGAAAGGGGGGAGGGAGAGAGAGGAAGAGCCAATGACATTTCTTGAAATGAGTCATAACTATTTCATTAAATTTTATCAAAGATCCTCTATATTAAAGGCTAATGGGCAATCTGCCTCTTTTTTTTTTTTTTTTTGCATTGATACACACATAGTTAATATAGTGAAATGATTTGCAACACATGTTTGTTTTTCCAAGTTATATGAATAACACATAGATTGGGATTTGAAAATAATTAAATTGGTCAGATGCATGGAATATTCAATGGAATAGGGTGGGGAATTCTGATGCCAATGGGAGCGATGATGGCTCGTTATCTGAAGGCATTCGAAGTCACTAGGCCAAGATGGTTCCATGTGCACAGGGCATGTCAGATTCTTGCTTATCTCTTTGGCTCTGCTGGCTTCGCTCTCGGCATCTACATGTCCACCAACCTGTCTCTCTCCGCTTTTCATCTTCATGCCTCCGTTGGAATCGCTGTCTTCACCATTTCCACTGTTCAGATCTTGTTCGCCATATTTTTCAGACCACACAAAACTCACAAGACCAGAATCTTCTGGAACGTTTTTCACTATGTTCTTGGCTATGGAGTCATCGTTCTTGCCATCTTCAACATGTTCAGAGGCTTCTCCATTTCTAACTACCCCACCACCTGGAAGAACCCTTATTTTGGCTTCACTGTTTTGGTGGGCTCTGTGGCTCTCGTTTTAGAAGTCCTTACTTGGTTTCTGGTGTGCAAAAGGAGGATCGAGACGAAGAAGAATCAGGTTTCTAATGATGACAACATTTCACAGATCTCTCAGAATCAGGAGGTTCCTTGATCAATTAGATTGCAATTACGGATAGTGTTTGATTTGGATCTGTAATAGATTTACATCAATGTTAGGATGTGAACTCGTGAGTGAACTTGTTAATTACTTGATTTGGTGTAGGGAAAAATCCCACATTAAATAAAGTTAAACCAAAAAAGTAGTATATAAGTTAATATTTTGAAATTTCGGATTAAGATATGATGTCATATATTCTCTTATGCATGTTTCGGAATGGTTCTGAATGGTTCCTTTCAAAGCACAAAGCACATCTGAAGGAATAACTCTGTCCTTTCCGTAGCTTCATATATGTATATGAAAAGTTTTCGATAATGACGATAAATAAGTCTGCCCCCTTTTTTTTTTTAGTTTATAAGAGTTTCAATGATATTATTAAGACCTTTCTCACGCGTGCATCTCAAACTTTATGAGATATTGAAATTGCAATAAATTAAATTAGTTCCCATGCATGTTTTCTTAAACCTGTAGTATAAACACAAATTAAGTCACGCACTATGAAGATCATTCTCATTAATTACCATTAACACTCCATGCTCATCTTAATTACATTATTTCCATTTTACCGCTATTTTACGTATCATATCTTATCTTTAGTATTCTTTTTTATCTCCCCGGAAAATCATTGACTTCTCTATAATTAATTCCCTTTCTTTTTTTTATGGCTCTTCCATAATATAAAAAACTGCGTTAATTAATAACATAAAATTAAAAGCTAGCATATAACATATCCAGCGTAAATTTAATTTGCTATATATTAAACCAAAATATCAATGGATGTGTGTGTGTGTATTTTTCAGAAAATATATATATTTCCTGATAATCGCCTTCCTTTTGTGTGTGTGTATATATATATATCCTAATGACTGCATGATTATATTGCAGTTCAGAATTTTCACTGTAGCTTTCTTTATGGATTCTTCTTGCCACCTTCCTTTCTGGTTCTCTTCTTCATTGGGCTCACCCTCACCACCCCTACCACTGCAGCCCCACAGCCAAAACCACAATCTTGCAATGACTTGTTACTTCTTGACTCTTCTATCTGCAACTATCGTTCTTCTTCAGACTCCAAGTTTCATCATCTTCCTGAGAATTCCACTCTGGTGAATCATATTTGGCAACAAGGCTCTCTTAGTTCTGGATCTGATGTCAAATCTTTTGGTCACATAGATTTTGTCTCATCCCAAGTTTCCCATGATGATGATAATGATGATAGGAATTCAGATAAGTCAGAGATTTTAATCAGAAAAGTAAGCCAACTCCGTAACCTTCATCGATCTACGCCAGAGATATATTTGGAATTTTACCTCATATCAGTAACACATTATACTTCATATATAATATTTCAGGTTCATGGAATATTGAGTGGAATAGGGTGGGGGATTCTGATGCCAACAGGGGCGATGGTGGCTCGTTATTTGAAAGCATTTAAAGCTGCTGGATTTTCTTGGTGGTTTAATCTGCACATGGCTTGCCAGATTGTGGCGTGTTTAAGTGGCACGACTAGTTTTGCTCTGGGAATTTACATGGCAATTGATAGTGACCAATTTTCTGATGTTCATGGCTACATTGGATTCGCTATATACTGTGCTTCTACTGCTCAAGTCGTGCTCGCTCTGAATTACAGGCCTGACGAAGGTGACAAGGACAAAATCTTGTGGAACATTTGTCACTATGTAATTGGTTATGGAGTCATCGTTCTTGCCATCTTCGGCATGTTCAAAGGCTTCTCCATTTCAAACTCTTGTCATCATCATCGGACATGGAACAATGCTTTCTTTGGCACGATTGTTTCATTGGGTTGCGTGGCTTTCATAGTAGAGGTCGCTACTTGGTTTCTGGTGTGCGGGAACAGGAAGGAGGAGGAGGAGAATTCTGATGACAATGTGTAGATCTGATCTATGTTATGTTGCTCTTACTAATTGAATGAGTCATCATCAAGATGACAGCCCCCCCCCCCCGGTTTTTTTTTTTTTGGTAAATAAGATGATAAAGTTGATGCCCTGAATTTTGTTAAAAAAATATTACATATTAATTCTTAGAATTGATAAAATGGTACAATATAATGGTCTTATTATAAAAAAAAAATTGTATATGTATAAACTTCTAATTTTTATCCATATGGATAATGTAATCGTATATTGTACAACGTTTCGTGTTTTTAAAGTTTAAACTGACCAAAAAAACTATATATTATAGAAATGGATAATATATTCTTAATATCTTTAAACTTTCTCTCAACTATCAATTTAATTCATGAATTTTGACTCAATATAATTTAGTTTTGATGGTTTATTAAATTAAAAAATTATACAGATTGAGTTATGTTAAGTCAATAAAACTAATAAGACTTAATTGTTATAAGTCAAGGAATTATAAGAACTAAGTTTTTTTCAAGTTAAAGTTTAGAAATTAAATTGATAATTAAGAAAAAGTTTAGAGTTATCCCAAAATTTATTTTTAGTGTAATATTTCTCTTTAACTTTTAAAAATGATATAATGTCACTTTTATTTTTAAAAAATAAAGACATTCAATTCTCTCCAATTTTTTGGTTATTATTTGTGTTTTTTTATTTTCTTTAATTTTTTAGATATTTTTTGTAATTTTTTAATTAATTAATAATTAACATTAACTTTTTTGTTAATGGTAAAAATGACATTGTGCCATATTTAAAAGTTAAAAGGTAATACTGTATCAAAAATAAATTTAGAATCCAGATAATTTTGAATTTATAATTTAAAGATGAAATATTTGCCATTAAATACTAAATTTAGGGACAAAAAATTACACATTCCCTTATAAAAATCATCAATGTTTATTGTAAGATTTATTGCATGAATTTGTATCATTCATTGTAATAATTCAAACAGTAGGAATCATCCTTCATGCCGGTCATGTTGAGACTCGAGTTATAAACTCACCATCGTATTGTAGGACGTCAAAAAATAGGCCTGGAGGGTACTTCGTTTTGGGCGCGGGAGAGTGCCTTGTCTGCAATATTGAAAAGATCAGAGCGAGACTTGCAATTTAGTCAAACCCAGAGGAGGTGACAGTAATTTCAGAGCCTTCTTCTTCTCCTAACCATTTCCCTCTTGCTCCTCTCATCCCATCTTAAGCTGCATTGGATATACATTTCCTAGGCTCCGCCGAGTTCACACTTTCCATATCGATGGCGATTTCTGGGTATGTACTTTCTTCTTTAGCTTCCTCATCTCTGAGCTCTGTCTCTCTTGCCTTCCGCTTCATCCCGTGCTTCTCAGTGCTATCAAAAAACCACGCACGACCCAGGACTCTCCGTCTTTTTCATTTTTCATAGGCTCCTGGGATCATCATCGCCAGGTTCACTAAAACTTCGCTACAAGTTTCGTTTTGGTGTTCTGCGGTCTTACCTTCTGTTAATTGGGTATATTAGCTGGGTTTTTTGGTTGATTTTATCGGCAAGATTCGCCTAAACCCAAGATGTTTCTGCCTAATGGGTTTTTGGGTCTGTGGATCTCTTTTTTCTGGATTCCAACTTTCTGATCTGTTTGTAGAACTAAAGTAGATGTTGCTTTAGTGCTGGTCAATTTTGTGGAATGGCCAGTTATGGTGACTTGTATCTCTGTAAGTTTTGGTAGAAGGTCGTGGTTCTTCCATGGCTAGTGAGATTGCGGAAAACATTGCTTCCTGCTTGATGGGCTTCGCTTTTTTCAAATACTGAAAAGCCTTTTTAATCTGTTGCGGAGGGATTGAATCGGGCCTTTCTTATTCGTAGTTATTCGCTATCGGTTGGGCGAGCCTGACTTTTTTCTTAATTAGGGTTTCTGACTTTTGCGACACTTTCGATTACTGTATTTCTGGGGATTCTGATTTTTATTTCCCCCCTTTTAACTAAACATCTTTGATTAGCCTCTTTTTGTGGGATAAGGAGACCATGGTTGTTTGGATGGTATTTTGCTAGAGGATTCTTGCTTTATTCCTGAAAATTTGTCCTATTGCCTTTCTAAAAGGTCTGAACCTTTTGCCATTGCTTTGAAATCAAGTGCACTCCTGGATTCTGTTGACTCCCTCTGAGCTTTCCTTCAAGATGGCCACAAATGATCGCCGTTTTGTAGAATGGAAGGAGCAGTTTATTTCGCAGGAGCGTGGCAATCGTGTTGTCCACTATTACCTGAAGGATTCTGCTGGGGATTCCACACTTGCAGTTGTGGGCACTGAGAGGAGCCTGAGACACATGTTCTATGTTGTTGCTGAGGAGTTTCTAGAAGTTTGCGGGAAGGAGGGTACCATCCATGCTGGTTTCAAATGGAGGTCGAGAAGAGAGGTTGTGGACTGGTTGACATCAATGCTATCAAAGCAGCATCAACTGGGGGACAAGAGCGGTAAGTTAAACTTTCCTGTTATGTTTTTGGTTTCCTTTTCATTATCTTACCTCTATTGAAAATCATGTAAAGATGTTCTGGTTGCCTGAGTTACAAGGTTACTATCAAGTGATTATGAACTGACAAATCATGATAAGAAAGACGTTGATGAGGATTTTTTCCTTTAATGTTTAATGCTGATATCTCTTACGTATCATGCTGCATTCAAGATTCTCAATCACAAAACTTTGAGCATGAGTTTATATTCTGTATCTATTTATACGTGTAAACAAGTCTTTATTTGCCAAAGTTTTATATTTTTCAATTTTGTACATTCAATCATGACTTGTAGATTATTGCCTTGTCCATATATAAAATGTTTACATGTTTTTGTAGCTTGGGAACTTTAACAACTTTGGTAAATGGTCACAATAAACCTCATTCCCTAACTATGTCTTTAATTACTTTCTTGATTTTTGTTTTCCTTTTTTGGACAATAATATGGCTGACATGGCAAAAAGTAGCAATCTTCGTTTTGCTTTACCCTTGATGTGGGAGTTGGTTGTGCTGTAGGATTTGAATTGGTGCAGGTCTTATTGGTTAGTATTGAGACCTTGGCTGGAGTAATGAGGGTAAAACTTTATAGAGGTGGGCAATGTGTGTGACTCTATGGTGTATTTTGCTGGAGTTGGTTTGACGGCTTGGTATTTTTAGGACATACCATTCATGCTGTTAAGGGACAATATTGATTTTGACTTTATTGATTGCTACTCTTCCATAGTATATCTAAGTGTCTCGATTAGCTAAAATAATTTTGCAACATTAGGAGTATAACTTGGATCCTAATTTAATTGTAGTGTCGCCAAGTCATAACTTGGCACAAGCTCATGACACCACAACTAGCAGTCTCAAAGAATTTATTGATCTGCATGCACAGATATCTGATGACAAGGTATATTTGTTTCTTTTTTCTTTTTCCTTACAGCACTTAATTTTCCTTCTGCAGTGAATGTTTTGACTTTTTGCCATATGTTTACTCTCTCTTTCCCAGGGCCTTCTGATGAGCAGCTTCAAAGGACACAATTCTGACATTGTTTGGTCAGGAATTGCCTGGACATGTGGCAAACAGCTTAAACATTATCCTGCTTTTTACAGGAATGGGATCAAAATAGCAGTAAGCATGCCTTAAACTAAAAACCAAGGACTGCTGTAAGATTTTCATCAAAATCAGGAATTTCAGTAATCTTAAATAGAAGAATTTATGGGGTATTTAGATAAAAATTTATGAAATTTTTGGGTATTTGCTTTGAGCCCTGTTTCATGGTGTAAGTTCTTTGATTATTGTTAGTGTTAGTATAGATTGCCTTTCCTCTGTTTCCTTCTCTGCTTAAAACAATTACATTAGGCAGTTTTTCTCACACGTTTTGTATGTCTGATATCCAGATTCAATCTTTCGTTTTTGTGATGGCAACGGGAGAAAATCATTATATTGCATATTTGGAGGACATGTACGAAGACAGGAGGGGTCAGAAAAAGGTTAAAGTGAGGTGGTTTCACCATAATCAAGAAGTCAAGGGTGTAGTTCCAGTGAGAAATCCTCACCCTCAAGAAGTTTTTATCACATCATATTCTCAGGTAATTAGTGCTGAGTGTGTTGATGGCCCTGCCACAGTCTTAACTCGGGAGCATTACGATAAACTCTTGCCTTCTTTTTCTCTTGCCTCATCAAATAGAATCCATTTGTGCTTTAGGCAATTCAGAAACAACAAAGTAAAGCCCTTTGACTTGAGTAAATTGCGAGGCTACCATGATCAACCAATTCTCTCTTGCTTGAACCTTGATTCCTTCCAAAACCCTTCATGTAATAAGCTTGCCGAAGAAGATGAGGAGCTGAGCCAAGGTGATGATGTAAGGCCAGGAGGTAAGGGGAGCAAGAGGAGTAGAGGATCTTTTCAGCGCTTGATCGATCACCAGGGAGTTAGGAAATTAAGTAGGAGTCAACAAACGATGGTGTACAAAACCATTGAGAATGTAGATTACACTAGGCCAAATAGGAGATTGCTTTCCCAGAAACAGGTTGATCATCAGCCCTGGTATAACTCCAAATACAAGGTTGATGACAAGATAGAGTTACTCTGTCAAGACAGTGGCATCAGAGGCTGCTGGTTCAGGTGTACAGTTGTGCACGTATCCCAGAAACAGATAAAAGTCCAGTACGATGATGTGCAGGATGAAGATGGAGGCGGCAATCTTGAGGTATGATCAAGCTCTTGTATTGTCAGGCTTCTTAGTTGAGTGATTCTTTGACTTGTTTTGCAAGCCTGACTGACTAGAGTCAGATTCAACTGTCTGTGACATGAGCTGTATGTTTACCCTCAATGCAAGCTATTTTTAGATGTCACTTTTGAATTTAAACACCTGATCTTCTCCATTGTGTAGGAATGGATCCCTGCTTTCAAACTTGCCATGCCTGATAAACTTGGGATGAGACATTCAGGCCGGCCCACCATCAGGCCGGCCCCAACTGATGAGGCGCAACAAGAACTGGCTGTTGAGACTGGGACTGCAGTAGATGCATGGTGGAGTGATGGTTGGTGGGAGGGGGTTGTAAGTGGAATTGATAACTTTGATGATGATAATGTACAAGTTTACTTTCCCGGTAACTATTTTAGTTTCCCTTTTATATTTTTCTCTTAAAACTATTTCATCATCCTCCATATCAAAACATGACCATTATTGGTGTTGTCAGGTGAAGGTCTGTTAAGGACAGTGTGCAAGAAGGATCTAAGAGTGTCAAGAGATTGGCTGGGGGATCGATGGGTTGATATTGAGCCAAAGCCTAATGTAGCCTCTACCATATCTGCTGTCAACAGCTCAAGCACAAAGTTTTCGGTGCCCCCATCTACCACTAAAGATGTTGACTCTTCTGGGGTTGTTATTTCATGTCAAGATGTTCCTGGTATCGAGAAGTCTAATGAACTAAATGATGCTGCTGAAGACGCGAATCGGGCTATTGATAACAAGCCCCCTTCACAAGAAGAGACAAGTGTTGAAGTTGTTGAGACTGAGCAACATGGAAGTTGCGATAACGAAGATAACCATGATGATGACAAAGACAATAAGGAAGAGAATGATGGCGATGATAATGATGCGAGGGATATGGAGGTGCTTGGGACTTCTGGAGAGGACTCCAAAGTCATGGAACCCATGGAAGTGGCTGTTTAAACATTCTTTCTGGAGAGTTCATGCAGAAACTTGTGATGGTGCTGACATCTCGGAGCGTTGCCATCAATTCATGTTTAGGTGTAATTCTAGTCAATTAGAATGTAAATAGTTACACCGGTATGTGGACAATCTGATTCCTTCTTTTGCTTCTTTAGTTGCCTACATAGATGATGTACAGTGTTGAGAGTAGCCCCTTTTATTCTCTTTCCATTTTTCAGAGGGATTGTATCGGAAATTAGATTTTTCCCCCTTCTTCATGGAGAACAAATATCGGTCAACAATCACTTGTCAGCCAGAGCTATACACATTTGTGGCCAACAAAATTAAATATATTAGATGGATGTAGAACCTTCTTGTTCTTATTTCTTCAAGCATGCTATTAAATACTTCTTCTGGAATCTTTTTGTGAGAAACAAATGAGAAATTTTTAGGGGTCTAAAAGATAGGGAATAACTTCCCCTTATCTTGTGTATTTATCCAAATTTTCTTATTTATTTTCATCAAGTTAAAATCATTAGAAACATAGTGGCTTGATCTTAACTGTATTTCTTTGTTTGTGAAACGGCTATATTTTTCTTATAAAGAGGTGGCAGGGAGTATTTTGAGGGGTTATAAAGTTCAAAGTGACCTATGAAGAACTGGAATTTGAAGAGACTGACAAAGGTTATATCACTATCGAGAAATTGATGATCCACTAATCTCGCATTATCATTGCAAGCACTAAAATTTAAAAGATTCATTTTAAAATATTTGAAATATATATATTATTAAGTAATAAATTAGGGTAATTTTTTCTAATTATTTTTTTAAGTTTTTTTTTTTTTTTAAGTTGGCTCAATTGAATTTCAATTATGAAACGTGTGATGAAGTCTTCAACTCATGCGAGTTAGTTGAGAGCACAGAAAAAATTTATAAAATACATATATATACTTCCTCTAGTTTTATGTAGGACATTTTAATTATTTCACACACATTAAAAAAGTTAATTTTTTTTCTTGATATCATAAAAAAATGAGATATATTTCATTTTTACCTTTAACTTTAAATAACAATATAACTATATTAAATACCTTCATGTTAATTAAGGAATGGTAAATTTGAAAAAAAATGATATAAGTATTATAAGATATCATATATTTTAGACAAAAAATTACTTATAAATAAAGACTGGAGGGAATATATATGTAATCAAATAATTCATGAAAGTTTGAATAGATACAGTCTGAACATCAGGAATCTGTCACTACTAGTCACATTCACATACATTACTCAAGTCTCGAATAGATACAAAAGAGGCAAAACTCTGCATTAGGTGATGTATTATCTACTGCATAAATGAAGAAGAATAAATAATGGAGATGAATAAAGAAAGAATCACAAATCATGTGATGTGAGCGACAAGAATGGCTATAGCTTAAGCCACTGATTCCCCATTTATGAAACTCTCATCCAGAAATGGCCTTGCTTCATCATAGCTCAAAGATTTTGACCATTCTACCCTTCCCATTCTATCTGCTCCAACCCCTCACACTGATACTCCCCAAACACAGCAGTCCTGCAAAATACCACATACATTATAACTCATAATCCACACTTCGGAAAACGTTTCTGAAGAAGCTGAACACAGATACAAGCATGCACTGTCGAGTATGACCTATACCGGCGAATTTTAAAAATGTTAACAGATGAAGTATGAGTATATATAAATTTGGTGAGATGTGGTTGGTGTTATACATCTTTCTGGATGGGTGGTTCCAATCAGTCCAGCCTTCTGGGGTGATGATATCATCCATATAGCATAGAGAATAGATGATTCTGGAATAGTCACCCCAGGCTCTGCCAAGAAAGACACTTCCAGTGCCTGTGATGGAGCAGTTTACAAAGGAGAAGCCTGTGTCTTCACTGTCAGCATTCCTGTGATGTGCCGCTATTGCTCCATATGTCTCTGCTATTGAATGAAGATCACAGTTCTGCTCAACACACCCAACATTATCATGCTATGCTCACCACTTTTCCAACAGTAGATTCAGTTTATGCAAGCATTTTTTCAATATTAAGATTAGATTGGCCACTCAGTTTCTGATAAAGTTTATGTATGAAGATGTAAAAAGAGTTAGTTTCATTAAAACATAATCTTGAACAGATTACACGTTCTTTTATGAGCAAGTGTATCTGAATTGAAAATGCTTGTCATTCAACGACGAAAGGGGGTGAAACCTGGTAGAGTGATTTTGCATTGCCAAATATGAAATCAATTTTGCCTTGGATATGACACTGATAGAAATAATGTGTGCCTGTGTTGTCCAACAAAGTGTCTTGTTCCCCTTTGATCCACACCCTATAAAACATTGCCCTTTCACTGTCCACCCTCAGTGCCACTCCTTGCATTCCATCTCCTCCATTCACCGCCATTACCGAGTTCTGCAACCAACCGCCAAAATTAATAGCAAGTCATAAATAGTATTGTTCATCAATTCCGAATCTATTTATACCTAATAACTTGGGGGATACTCTGATACAGTATGAATTTTGAGGAATGAGTCATACCCATTGAGAGTAGTTTATTGGTTGAGTAATTAAAATGATGACTCCGATTCATACCTCAAAAGTGAGCCTGGTTGCACAGAAATAATCGGATTCTACAGTCACAGTTGCAGAAGCATAGGTCCCCAGTTCTTGTCCATCAAAACCTCTGTCCGATGATTTACTGTTCCACGTAATCACTGCACTCGCTGTTCCATTTCTTCCTCCAATCATTGATACATACCCCTTCGTTCTTGGCACAAACACTTTCTCTCTGCAACAAAGAAAGATCAGGTTTTCATTGAAAGAACATTCTTCTTCTGCATAGAACCATCACAAGACAATACAGAATGTGTGTGTGTGTGTATGGACCTGTAAATTCCAGGGTATATGTAAATTTTGATTCTTTCTGAATTGTTGTCAGGAACCATATCTACAGCTTCTTGGACAGTCCTAGAATGTCCCCTGCCATGCTGGTCAACGAAAATAACTCGAGCATCGTCAATGGGGTCCGAGGTCAGCCTCTGTTCATCTACCCACAGATCCTTCCAGCTAATGTAATTCCTGACATGGTTGTGGTCGTAGTCTGACAGAGCTTCTGCTAAATCCAACTGAACACAAACCCAGAAAACCAGAAGTGGAAAAATTGAAACTTTAGATAGCCCCATTCTCTGAAATAGAGTGTGAAGGAAGAACAAAGTCGAAATCAAAAGCAAACACTACTTTTGGAGAAGAACGCAGCAAAGAAAGAAGAGATAGAGTAACGGTTCTTATTATGGTTGAAACGTGGAAGAGCTTCTTGAAATAAATAAGAGAGCGTGTGCTTGTGAATGTTACAAAATAAACTACAAGTTTTTTTCCCCTTTCTTATTATTATTATCATCATCTTTTTAGTTTAGTTGAAGAACGTGAAGGGAAAGAAATTATTGCATACATCATGTTTATCCCTTTCTCACACTCTCGATGTTAGAAACATTGAAATGAAGAGAAGACAGAGCGGTTATGGACCAACAATTTACAAACTTTGGTTAATTTTCTATGGACATTCAACTTTTTTAATGTTTTATTTTTACATTAAACTGAATTATAACTGTCGCCAATGATTATTATTTAGCACAAAATAAGGCATTAAAATCGGGTTAGTGGTATGTCCTTTGGACAGTTTGATTTTGATATATTCCCTCCAATTTATTAACTGGAACTGTGACAAAGCAACACTTTCTTGCAACATTTACCAACATATTAAATATTAATAATAATCAATATCAGGGAAAATATTTTAATGTAGTTATCTATTTTAAAGTTATATGTAAAGTTGTTGGCCGAGATTTAAGAAATTCACATCCTAAGTATTGAATCTATCAATTGAGACTGCGCCTTGAACCACATAGTATAGTATTGTTAAATTAATACGTCATTTGTTCTAATTTTGGCATATAAATAATAGTTTATTGACTTCTAAACCCAGCAAACAAATTGTCAACATTAACACAAGAATTTAATAGAACAAATTGACGCACTTTTTTTGTTTTGTTGATTGAAACTTAAAGCATACATAGTCTGTTTTTTTTAAAAAAAAAAAACTAAAGCATACATGGTCGATTTTTTATAGTTTTACTAGTTTATTATTTATGAAATTTATTAGACTTGGATGCATGCATACGTACATGTATATTCCCCTTGTTAAAAATTACGAGACATTCTTGGCTAACTTCCATCCTCCAAGAAAATAGTTAACATAATTAAAAATTAGGCAAATATGTATCATTATATAAGATTTTAATTTAATACTTTAAGTTTATAAAGTATATTTTCAATCATCTAATCTAGTACCATTACTTTGTTAATCTCACAAAATAATTTTTTTATCAATTATTATTATTTTAAAAAATTAATTTTGTTATGTTAGCATTTGATAATGTTTTAAGTTTAGAAGAAACATCTGAAATCATAAATTTATTTTTAATGCAATATTTATTTTTTACTTTTAAAAATAATATAATATTATTCCTATTGTTAAACAAATGTATCATTAGTTGATTAGAACATTATTAAAAAAAGCTATAAAATTACAAGAAAGAACCGAGAAATTCATCTCCTTTCCTATAATTTTTATTATTATTTTCAGTAATTTTGTGCCTTTTTATAATTTTTTATTAACTAATATTCAAAATTAACTTTTAAAATTGTCCTTGAGCGCATATATATATATATATATATAGTTAAAAGATTAAATATGCATCATCCCAAATTTCAATTTGTTTATAAATATGATAATTAAAATAAATATGAAACTTGAAAGTAGAAACGGCATTAAATAGTGCGATCAATTGTCATAATGAGATTAGCAGTTTCAGGATAATATATATGAAGGCCATAAGGAATACATGCATGCATGCATATAAATACTCCCTCCACGTTATAATACAAATATCTTTTAAAAGTTTTACTTAGTCTAAAATATAAACATTAAATAATTTTTATAATTATTTTTTTAATTATATCCTTACTTCTTTTATTACTCTTTTTAAAAAAAGAATGCATTAAAATTTTAATTATCATTATCAAAGCATTTTTATAAGATATTTAATTAGGAAAAAATTAAAAAAATGTAAATTTAAAAAATTAAATTTTTAACCAATACTATTTTTTAGAATAGCAAAATGAGTTATCAATACCTTATATTTTGATCTAGACGGTGTGATAAAATTATGAATAATTACTTTCTTTGATTTCTTGGGGGGAGAATGACAAGTAAGGACCCCAAAGTTAATATAAACTTAGAATTTCTTCTTAATACTCCTTCTTTTATGTTTCAATACTAAAATTTTTAATTTAATATTAATTTTTCTACAAGTGCTTACTTGTCACTCTCCCTTTCTTGGCTGTTGGACGGTACCATACAAATTCAAAGTCTCTCTTCTTGGTGCAACGGATGGCCATTTTCAGGCACAAACAAATTAAGAAGCTGTGAGCACCCATCAAGACTCTGAAATTATCATAACGGACCTTTTCAGCTATTCCTACCTCCAACTATTTTTATAAACTCTTCTCTTTTTTCCCTCAAATTCTATATATCATACTTCAAATCATTCTAAATATATGCAAGTCTTTTTTTAAGGGTCAAGGGTTCAAAAAAAACAAGCACGAATCACCTCTATATCGTTGAATATTCATTTTTCACCAATATTCTTATTAAATTTTAGGAGTCAACAAATATATATATATATATATATATGAGAGAGAGAAAGAGAGAAAGTTACAATGAAATGTAATTTAATTCATTAATTATCACGGCCAAACTTTAAAAAAAAATTGAAACACTTTAAAAAAGAAAAACTAACTTTAACCAGTTTTCTTAATATATGTATATATATAGATAAAGTTGGTAATTGTGATGATTACCCCAAAAAAAATAGAAGTTGGTGATTGTGACTTATATTGGATATTAAGATATTAAAACATGGATATTCATCAATATATGTAGCAACTAGTCATGAAATGTGGGAAGTAGATGGCTGATCATCTACCTCCAACTTTTGTTTTATTTTTACAATAAGTGAAGGCACAATAATGAAATTTAAAATTATCATATTTTTAATAAAACTGAAGGAGAAGGAGAAGAGGAGGAAGAAGAAGAAGAAGCCAAGAAAGTATAATTTAATGTCACATTAAACTCTAATTAATTAGATCAAACTCCAATTGGGATAACTACCATAAAAAACTCTATCTAATACTATTTATAAGTCACTTCTAATATGTCTTACAAGAATAAAGGAAAACCTGAAACCTAATTAAATTTAATTTGTCTTAAAATTTAACAAATTTTTACATTTATCATTAATAAATATTCTTAAATCTCATTACTAATATCTTTATTCAAAGTATTTATTATGGATAAAAATGTAAAAAAAAAAGTATTAAAAATTGACAAGTGTCCTATAGATATGACCAAATTTTTTTCTTTTGTTTCTGTCATTTAAAGTTGTAAACAGGATTAAAGGAGTATGTTTTGCATAAGCATATATTCAATCTAAATCATTGTGTTTAAACAACCTATGCCTCATCCACTTTCTGAACACATGGGATAAATTAAATTTTGATATCAGTGGAATATACATCAGTTGTGTCTAAAAAAACAAAAAAAGGATTCTACCCCCACTAATCTTAGATCCTAGGTTCACTACTACACACTAACTTTAACACTATATATTATATTTTTAAGATTCAAACTCAAGACTACTAATTAAGCTGGAATGATTCCTTACCAGTTGATCCTAATGCTCAATGGTTCAATGTATGTTATCATCCCTTTTGTTTTTTGTTTTTTTTTCAAGGGCACATATAAAATGGCTCATACCAACTTTCTCAATTCAGAGATGTCCTAAACTCCATATATTAATAATATATAAGGAACCAAAATTATATTATTATATAAAAGGCCCAGGAAAAAAAAACTTGATGTATAGAATGAAAATGTAACTTCTTTTGTTTAAACAAGAGTTGGGGTTAAAACATTCAAAATTTCAACCTGGTTTGGAATTTATTGCTTTATAAGCTACAATGACACAAAATTTTGTTTGGCGCACACACACACACATGAAAAATCAAACCTTGCTTTTAATTTATGAAATGTTAAATTACCGTCTTTTAATTTATATGTACCTATACATAGACTATATAAATAATTCCCTGAGGGGTCATTAAGTAAAAAGAAAGGCTAAATTTCAAAGGAACATTTTAATTACTTGGGGAAAAATATTAAAAACAATTGAGATTATTATTATTGCTATTATTTATATACATAACTTAGTGTCATTAGCGATGGCCCTTCCCTAATGGCAAGAGATTGAATTGTGACGGCTTCATCATGTTGTCAATTTTTGAGTGACCATTTTAGAAGCAAAACATTTTTCTCATTATTGTTTTTATATATATGTTTCCCTATACCTATTTCTTTATCTACCTGGTGCATGTTTTCTTCTGGACTGCAGTTTAATCATGCAAAATTTGGAATTACTAAAAATATTGATCAAGTAACACCCGTCTCTCACTTGAGTTTGAGGAAGATGTTTATGGTGTAATTAGAAAAAATACATGGGGTAAAACTTGAAAATATATAACGAAAAAAAATTCTATCTTCTTATGACAAAGTTCAAGTATTTAAACTAATATTTTACACTTGTTTATAAATGAATCAAAATAAGTAAATTTTTAAATTTGAAATTGATTTAATAATTTTTTTATAAAAATAAGAAATAATTTGTAAAATTTATTTTAATTAAAATTAAATTTATTTTCCATAAAAACTTTTATTACTTTTGTCAAATCATTTTTTCATTGACTATGTCTTTCTTCTTTTTGGGTTCTATTATGTGTTGATCAGACTCAAACAACACTTATTTGAGACCCAGTAGATGGGCCTGTTATGAGTGGATTGTCTGAATAGGTCTTTTGATGACTGGGTAGTTAGCACGGGAATGGCATACATTTGCAAAAAAATGTATTTATTATACTTTTTTTTCTAAATAAATCAAAATAAGATGATTTCAAATTTAAAAATAAGTTAAAGCATCGATAACAAGATTTAGTTTAAGGTAAATAATAAATAAAAATATGATCATTTTCATTTAATTAAAAAGTACAAATTATTTTCTTTGAAAACTTATATAATTAAAAAATACAGACTTAAACTTGAGACTTATTTAAGGGATTTAAACCCCTTCTACCAGGACTAATATTAGTTGGTAAACTTAGATGGTTTTCTTTTTGGTGTAACTTAGATTACTTTTGTTAAATCATTTTTTATTCTACATGCCAGTGTTGTTCTAGTAGAGGTAATACAGTTCAAGGCATTGTCAGGCTCTAAGTGGGAACATATCTCTTGACGATAATTTGAATCTTAATTTGCTACATTGTAATGAACTGGTTCATTGGATTAGACCCACACCTGGTGGTTTGTTGAATCATTTTTCTGAAACGGGTTTTTTCCTGGTTCTGTCAAACCGGACTAATTTAAACCCAATTAAATGGGCCTGTTATGAGTGGCCTATTTGAAAAGGAACTTTTTTTTTTTGAGAGAATGTTTCTAAATATGGGCTTGACTTTTGTTTGACTTGTGAGAAATGCAAACGAAAAACAAAAGGCAGCTAAAAATGAAATTAATGGAATCACTTTTGAATGAATAAGAGATGGTGTTTCATTCTTGTGGGCAGTTAAGTTACATTGCTTCAACTGTCAACCATACCTTATTTTTTGACACGTTTCCAATGTTTTCTCTGTTTGCCGCCGCCGCCGGCAGCCGGGATGCTTCCTATCATTGTTCGGTGGTGTGTAAGTTTCTTTTTTGTTGGGCTGATTAGGGTGTTTTTGTTTGGGCTTGGCCCTTTTATTTCTTGTAGACTTTGTGTTTTTTACTGTTTTTTATTATATATAATTTGATTTTGGCAAAAAAAAAATTAAATAAACTAAAAATTGTAGCCACCAGTGATTAGTGGTGTACAACAGTTATTGGCCATAATTGAAAGTAATTTAACATAATAAAATTTAATGTATTTTAAAATTAAAGAAAACCATTCTAAAATGTTTCTTAAAAATATTTTAATTCAAAACAGTTTTCCTTTTAAAAACAAAAAATAGTTTAAAAAAATCAAAACAAAAGTCGTTTGAACCTTAATTCACGCGCAAATAGCCCATTTAACTTATATAATTTGATAACCAACTACTTGTCCAAATTTTTAATATGTTATTAACTTAATGGCCATTTGAATTTTTATAATACAAATAACCTCTTCAAACTTTTAAATTATGTATAGATAACCCATTGAACTCTAAATCATATGCAAGTAAACTCTATGCTATATTATATTATTTTAGTACTATAAAGGACAAATCAATTGAAAGAGAGTTACTGTGCAAAATTTTAAAGGTCAGGAAAATTATTTACGCACGACCCAGATTTTATGGGGTTATATATAAATTAGCCAAAAAACATATTTAAAAAAAATATTCAAACACCAAAAAGCTAATATAACACGCAAGTTTCTACCGCCACTATGCTAGATGTTTAAAAATTCGTGTGTGTATTAAAATGAACTCGCCGTCTCTTCGTACAAAAACTAATTTAAAAAGAAAAAAGAAAAAAGAAAAATCCAATCCACATCTTTCCTCCAAACAACCTTCTGAAGCGGTGTCGTTTGCTTGTTAATTTCTTTGCTTGTCCTCCTTGAGTCACATGGCTTATATATGATAACATTATTTGTCATAAAATTTTGCATCCTATCTTGATGTTGATTTATTAACAATAGTCTATAGTCATCACTGTCAAAATAATAATATCCAAATATTGCATGTGATACTGATTTTTACTTCACACGTGGTGGTCGACGTAGATAGATAAGATCCGTTCATGTTTCAGTCAATAGGCAAATACTTTGAACTTTGAAATGAATTTATCAATTTAATTTAAAAAATGTGGCCAAATTATTAATTTACAAAATAGGAGTGTATTTTTTTAATATAGTTATCTTGACTGAATCAAGTTAAAGCATTGTTAGACCTAATTAGAGGTGATTCTCTCCAAAACCTTTTTTTGATAAATTTAAATCAAGACCTCCTATTTAAACAATTTCAACTTATTTTACTAAAACAAACTCCTATTAGTAAATAAGGATATATTTGCATATACATTATTAAAAATAATTTTTTAAAATTATTTTTCATCAATTTAATCTTTTAAATTTTCATTAATTAATTATTTTATTTATTTTTTAAATAAGAACGTAACATTATTAAAATTTACTTACATGAATAATATAATATTAAGTTGTGGATTATGTAAATTAATAAAAAATATAATTATTTAAACAAAAAGAAGAAGAAAGCAAGTTTGAAAATGTTTTTTAAAAAATAAAAAATCTTAGTATAAAGAATTAAATTGATTTAAGATTTAATTTATTTTTATTTAGTCACATGTGCATACTAAATTATCAATATATTTTACACATCCAATTAATTTAAAATTCATTTATAAGATATACATGATAATTTAAAAAATATAAGAGATTATATTGATAAAATTTAAATTTAAAAAAATATATCTTTTAATCCCTACATTTTACTCGTATTTTATTAATTTTTATATTTTTTTAATGTTTTGAATCTCCATATTATCATTTCTCAATATTTTACGTTTATTTAAAGTCTTTATATTTTATTTATTTTGTTAACTTAAAAACTTAAAACATTAAAAAATAAAAATATATAAATTCAGAATATCAAAAAAAATATAAAAATATATAGTAAAATATAAATAAAATTTAAATATTAAAAGGTATATTTTTTCTTTAAATTTAAAACAACTAAAACAATTTAGATAAATTTCAGCATTGATTTTTTTTTTATATTAGAAAATTTATTATTATTAAATTATTATTATTATTATTATCATCAAAAGAAAAGGGGCGCGTCCGAAGCCAGGGAGAAGTCCCACTTTACTATGAATTCCTTTTACAACGCGGCCATCTCTTCTCCTCGAATCCAATCATTTCTCGCTTCTTCCTTCCACAACCCAAAGTTTCAATCTTTGCCTATTGTTCCTTTCTATCTCGTTTCTTCTTCACCAAAAGCAGACTAGGATCTGCAATTTCATGGCCGCTTGCTTCGATGCTTCAATGGCAGGCATCACCAAAGCCAGCCCTCTTTCCCCGAGAAAGCCAAGCGGCTTCCAAATCGACGATAACTCGAGCAATTTCGTGAAATTGTGCCAATCCTCTTGCTCCGATCGTGTCTCCGCCGTGACTGTTTGCAAGACCCAAGCCAGAACCCATAAAACCCACATGGTTCTGGAGAAAGTCGACCAAAACGAACGCGAAGAAGAACAAGAAGACGATGTATGGCTGAAGCTGCAACACGAAGCGCGATTAGATGTACAAGAGGAACCCATCTTGTGCACTTACTATTACAGCTCGATTCTCTCTCACGAATCACTGGAAAGCGCGCTGGCCAATCACCTCGCTCTCAAATTGAGCAGCTCGAGTCTCCCTAGTGGAACCCTAAACGACATCTTCCTGGGAGTCTTCACAGACCATCAAGAAATCATGCTCAGAGTGAAGGATGATCTTAGTGCAGTGGTGGAAAGAGACCCTGCTTGCATAAGCTATGTTCATTGCTTCTTGAACTACAAAGGCTTTCAGGCTTGTCAAGCACACAGAGTGGCTCACCAGTTGTGGTTACAAGGAAGAACGGTCTTAGCGATTCTGATTCAAAACAGGGTTTCCGAGGTTTTTGCAGCAGATATACATCCAGGAGCTAAAATGGGAAGTGGGATTTTGCTTGACCATGCTACTGGTTTTGTCGTGGGAGAAACTGCAGTGATTGGTAACAATGTGTCAATTTTGCATAATGTGACGTTAGGAGGAACTGGTAAGGCTTCTGGGGATAGACATCCTAAGATTGGTGATGGTGTGCTTATAGGTGCTGGGACTTGTATTTTAGGAAACGTTAAGATTGGAGATGGTGCTAAGATTGGTGCTGGTTCTGTTGTTCTTAAGGATGTGCCTCCAAGGACTACTGCAGTTGGAAACCCAGCTAGGTTAGTTGGAGGCAAGGACAACCCTACCAAGCTTGATAAGATCCCTAGCTTCACCATGGACCATACTTCTCATATTTCTGACTGGTCTGATTATGTTATCTAGATTCCCAGAGGCTAATTCTCAACCATGCGTATATTAAGCAATGGTAGTGTATTTAGGACGTTGGGGTTAGAGCTATCTGTTTCTTCAATATCATATCATATGAGAGACCATCAAAGTTCTATTAGCAAACCGAGCTCATTGAGGGCCCATTATGTGTTTAGTATCATTTAACTCTTATATTTAAAGAAACCAAGTTATATCAGTGTTTTATGTGTTTGATTGACGCTGGTTTTGGTGCCAGTATTTAGTATGTTAATTTAGAGTTAATGCCAAGAGATTTTGATTTTGGCGTTTTGATATATGAGAGGGGGAGAGAGACGCAGAGCTTTTTAGGAGGCGTATCAGATACAGATATGCAGAGCAGCTTGAGCTATTAGTTTAACCAGTAGTCAATTAAATGAAGCACAGGAAGAAGGATAAAGTTATGGTTGCAGATTTATAAATCAGTGGAGGCTTCTGAGCGCAATCACACTAATCAGTGTTATATATTATGTTCTATGTATCTGGTACACTCATGCGTCCATATTCATCAAACAGTGATGGAAGGGCAAGAGCCTGTACATTTCTGTGTTGAAGCTTGTCTTGTAGTATTAAAGTAGAATATATTAGCTGTCTCACTGTTCCCAGATTGTTGAGTGCCACCCAAGCTTTTATATGGGTAATCATTTAGAGACCCCAAATGCTTTATTTTTGGTTTTGTTTTTGGCCCTAGCAAGCTTTTTTTATTTGTTATGGAAATGACAATTTCTGACATGAGGAACCATTATTTGTAGCATTAAAGTATGAAGAAGTCGTTCATTTCTTCTATATAGACTAGCAAAGGTCATTCATTATTGCTGTGTACATGAACACGACCAAATTTCTGCTTCACACACACACACACACACACACACACACACACACACACACATATAATATAATATAGAAACTGTGCCTTTGTTTTCATAATCTTTCCTAGTTTTGTGTGTGAGAGGGGAAGAGAGATTTTTTTTTTTTTTTGAGCTATTAGTATATCTCTAGTTGCGCATGAGGTTGTTGAAAACTTGTGGTAACATCCAAAACCAGGAGGCAGCAGCAAACTAAATGAACCAGAAGAAGAAGAATAAAATCATAATTGATCTATAGCTGTTACCGATTCTTATATATATATATATATATATATTCAAATTCCTATCATTAAATTCTGTCTCCTCCTTTACCATGTCCATTGCGAATTTGATTCTCCTATCAAATATTAGGAATATCACCATTAGGTTTCAAAATATTGAACTGATAATGGTTTAGTCTTCCGTAATTTTTTTTAAATGAATTGTAAATATCAAATTATGTAACTATAGACAAGAATTTCAGTTATAAATAAGAATTACATTTGTTTGAATATTGAATATTTTATATGCAATTAAAATTTTTGAATTTGTATTTGTAATTATGTAAATGGATTGTTTTCAATTTATTTTTAAAATTTTTTATTGAAAACTTAACGCGAAAGGTACTGCCTTGATTTGCCAATCACCAGGTTACACTTACACCCCCAGGGAACTCATGTAATGTAAATTTTTTATAAATAAGCCTATTGTTTTTTTCTTTCAGGGAGAATCACATATAGATATAAAAAAATGTTAATTATTTACAAATATTGTCCACTTATAAATATAGAAATTTAACTTGTAGATAGAAGAAATAATTAATTTTCTTATTTAGGACTTGATTATAATTTTTCCTTTTTTATTTTTTCTTTTGTTTTTGTTCAAAGGAAAAATAAATGAGTGGAGAATTCTAACTGCAATTTGGTGTGAAGATTTTGTTTAGTGGAAGTGGATATCGCATTCTCGACGTCCTCAAAAAAAGGATCAACGAATAGGAACCTGAACATTTCTGTGTGGTGACAATGCAAGATGATGGCTGGGCCGTTGGCCGCATCTTATTTTTGTCTTAAAAATCCACATCCCTTTCCCCTTTTGATAAAATTAACGTCAATCAAATCATAAGATAAAGATCCCAATGGACACTTGTCTGAACAGTTAAGGACTTAGACAGCTTAATTTAAATTCTTATATTCAAGCTTCAAGGTACGTAGCTACGCAGTTGAACACACAAAGTGTGTTGCTAGTGATACCAGCAAAACCATCACGTTAAAGGCCTAACTTATGTGGGGATCCAGATTAGTTTGAAATGGGATGGGCGGGCAATGAACCTAAGATATCCATACTCTCTAGGATACCAGGTGAGAAACCAAAAAAAAAAAAAATCATTAAGACAAAGATCATTTTTTTCTCTAATTTTTTAGGAGCAATAAGCACCTTATAAGGATAGAATGATAACCCTCCCAAATAATATTTTTAGGAGCAAAATCACCCTTTCATTAAAAATCTGTCATCTTCGACATGAAATAGTTATAAGGCTCATACATAATAACAATAAGGTCTTTTGATATATTTTGCTACTATTTCACCACTAAAATTTGGACTAATTCTTATTACTACTACTTCTAGCCAAGTCAAAATACCTTGTTGTTATCGTATGTGACCTCACAATTATTTCACATTAATAGATAACAAAGAAAGTTGTTGGTCACCCATGGAAGTGTGATTTTGCTATTGAAAAAATTATTTAGGAAAATATTGTCTTGCCTTTTAGTACATGATACCCAACACTTCCAAAAAAAAATAGAGGAAAAATAATCTTTAATCCTTGAACATTTTGTGCTCATCTAAATAACAACATAATTCAATATAAAGAATACTTATGAATTATCCACTATTCATTAATAGAGTTTTCACATATGTAGCATACAATTTAAATCCACGTCTTGATGAAACATCGGTCAATTTGTTACCATTTCAGATCAACCTTGATTAGCAAAATACTTTGTATAAAGAATGATTATGTTAGCATACAATATAAATATAAATTTCTATTTTAGGACTTGACAGTTAAAATTCCGCGGTTTAATTTCCTGCATGACAATTCTTGAGCAAGGCTTTGGGGGCGCATCATATGCATATATGTGTGCCAATGACTGAACCTGTATCTAATTTAATATGGAGGTGGTTAGTTTATTTATCGATGATAATAATAAGAATACGATTTTTGCTCAAAAAATAATAATAATAAGAATACGATTAATTTGAATATTAATGCATCGTTTTGTAAGTAGAAAAATATTTTTTAGAAATAAAATAATAAATACACCTATCCTATTTTTTCTAGATATATTATCTATTTTCTTTTTAGAAAATATTTTTCAGTGTACCAGACACTACATAATTATCAAAAATTTATTATTTAATACTGCTGAGTCAGATTTTAATTAGTATTGTTATAAGAAAGCTAAATTCAAATGTTGTTAAACTTCAAAGCTAACTGGCACCCAAAAATTAAACTGAATTGGAATGAGAAAAAAAGAAGAAAAATTAATTTCACGGTTAAAAAAAAGTTCTTTATACATTTAAATTGTAAAATAATGAGCAAGGCTTCAAGGAACATTTGTAATTGGTTTCAGTGGGCTTGCTGAAGCCCAACACTGGGGCCTTTGTAGCATTCGGTTTCACTTCTTTCCTGCACATTCCACGGGAGGCGTTTTCTCACTACACTTGGCGCCTGTTTGGATTAGCCATGAGAATCACTTATTTGTACGGAAACTTGATTTTAGTGAAAAATATCCAAACACCTCCATTTTTGCATAATTGATTATGTGACCCCAAACCATGTTTTTGCCTAAGCTATTCTGACCAGCTTATCAATTTTAATTATACTTGTTCGAGCATTTATTACTTGCCAAAATTTTTAGTTTACCAAGCATACCTTTAGCTTTGTGTGAATGTATGAACAGAAAGTGTGTCATGTGTAAGTACAATTGGATACAATATACAAGTGTATTGTACAGGTCTAATTGGTTTGTTCTCTTCCATAAATAGCCACCTTCAATACTTAAGAGGAGCAAAGAAGATGAGACATAATATGATCACCATCCATTTAGAGAGAATAATGGAATGATTGAGAAAAATTGTATAATAAATGTCACCTTAAACAGTGGTATCAACATGAGATATGAAACCTGAAATCTAGATCAAATCATAGATGCTTACAGTCCATAATGCCTGCAGCCAAGCAAAAAAATCCTTGAGAAAGGACATGATGAATAATTCAAAGAATTATAGTTCAGGTATTGTGTGTATCTGAGACTCAAGCTTAAATGATGTTTATAAATCAAAACTAACATACACTCTTAAGAAAGAAACATCATAACATGCAATTAATACTGAATATGCTTAAATTTTAACCATAATAATGAAAGTGGATGGAAGGATCCTTATTTCACCACTCTGTGGATCCTAAAAAAATAGAAAGAAAAAATCTTTCATAATACCCTTAAAACTTAGACAATATTACAAAAGAATGATTTAGTAATAGCTATTTTAGCTTGTATCTTATGATCATGAATGATTTAATCTAATGAGCTAAGTATTAAAAAAATGACTAAGTCAAACTTAATTAATATAAAGTCTGAAAAAAAATTAACTTTAAAATATACAATCATATTTATATTTAAGATATATTTCTCACAAGTGAACATGTCTTGGTAAATATGAGAATCACTCGTTTGAACGAAAACGTGATTGTGGTGAAATATATCTAAACAGCTCCAATTTTTGCATAATTGATTATGTGACCCCAAACCACTTTTTCGCCTTAACTCTTCTCGCCAGCTTTTGAATTTCAATTATTCCTGTTTGAGCATTTATTACTTGTCAGAATTTTCAGTCTACCAAGTATACCCTTGGCTTTGTGTCAATGTACGAACAAAAAGTGTAAACGGTGGAAAATTAACAAAGTGGCTACTTTGGTGCGTAGCTCGAGGCAAAAAGAACAGTTTTTGACAAAATGAAATACGAATATTAAAGAGAACAAAATATTAAATCGTGAAAAAAAAAACTGTAACATTGATAAAAAAATATTATTAAATATTAATATTATAAATTTATAATAATTTAATTTAAATTTATATTTTTTATCAATATATATGTGTTAAATAATCTTTAAAATAGTAAATGTATCATTATTATATTTTTTATTAAATAAATCAAAATAAATTTAATAATATCATATCCAATTTTATTTACCATAAAACTTATGTCCTTTATTGTTATTTAGACATCTAAAATATTTTAATTAAAATCATTTAAACATCTTCAATTTTATCAAAATTAATTTTAGAACATATCATCCAAACACCATCATGTTATAATGTAATTTTTTATAATTAAAATGTATTATGTTAATCAATTTTTTCAAACTCAATTATATCCAACTAAAATCTAAACACATCCTTAATTATTATTTAAAAAAACTGACAAGAATTGATTGTTAGTTCTTAATAATGTGACAAGTCAATATTTAAATATCTATTAAAAAATGTGTTGATATTTAGTGTTCAAGAGTCACTGGATAACAATTCTTAAAAGAAAAAATACAATATTTAGTCCAAGAAGTTTTCTCCAATTTTAAAGGCAGCCCCTTTTTAAAAGTTTGTCTCTCCGTAAGTTTGTCTCTAGACGATGCAGCATGCACACATCAGTAATATTGTCCTTAGCAATGCCATGTCAGATATGGTACATCTAATATGTGGCGCCTAATAAAGGGGACATAATGCTGCCACGTATACACAAATTTCTCCTAAACTGTACTGGTTTCAATTTGTGAAGATTCTGAAATTTGAAGGAATAATGAATGGTATCACTGTTCAACGCCCGTGGAACTTGTCGCCTTCACTGTGTGGTCATACTTGTTAGTTTTTATTTATAAGAGATGGAGAAATTATTTTTATTTTATTTATAAATTACATTATTAAATTTTTATAATAATTTTTTATTTTATTATATATTAAATATTAGAGAGAGAAAATATTATATATATAGATATATATTTTTAAGAGGGACAAAATTAACAACTTATTAAATTTTTACATAGAACTTTTTTTTTTTTTTAATTTTAACGAAACATATTGAAAGATGCTTATAAATAAAGTCAAAAGAGTATAGTATTTGCATGACTATTGCATTTATAATCAAGTCTCCTAAATTATACATAAATACTTTATAAAAAAATTAATATAAATTAAGTCTTTTAAATTGCATATAAATAATAGTATATAAATGCTATTTCTTATCCACATAAAAGGTTAAAATATGATTTTGATCAATCATTATTTTTGAACTTAATAGATATTAATTTTCTTATAGGATACCAATTTGAAATTTTATGAGTTATTTTCTATAATTTTTATATTATTTTTTATTAGATCACTAACTGTTAAAATTAACTTTTTTAAATAATAGAATGCTCCTTACATTGTTTTTAAAAGTTAAAAAAATGTATCACATAAAAATTTAGAATAGTAAATATTTTTGAGAGAATAGCTTAGGGAAAAAAATAATGTGTAAACTTTTTCTAAATTAAAGCTCTAGTTCAACTAAAAGGAAGGAGCCAGAAAAGTGTTCTCTCGTATGTCACTTGGAGATCGCTTTTAGCCTTTCATTTGCATATGTTTGGTAGTTTCTTGTACATTTGTAACCTCAAGCATCATAAAGATCATTAATTATTGCTATTTTTCATAGTCTATATGGCTTAAAATATAGAGCTTGTACGATTTAAGTTGCCCATACAAACATACGTGATATGTGCTAAATCATTCGCAATATATGCAATGCAAAATTTTATGTGGTGATCGAAACAAGAGAATTGAAGAAAAAGAACGATTAAAGATTTTATAATATTCAAAAATTATTTAGAAGATTTAAAAATTTAGGAATTTTTATTTTACTAATTGTAAATTTTTAAGAATTATTGTTTTCTTTCATAATATTTTCATTTTATTTCAAGTTTTCTATATTATTCTCATATTTAATTTATAGGGTTAGTTCAAGGCTTATAAAAAACATCTTAATATATATATTTTCTTTGCACATCTCTTAAACAAATAATAAATAAATTATTCCCCCGTTAAAAAAAATAAAGCATTTTAAATATTTTAAAGTGTAATTATTATTTTTTTAAAAAAAGTATCTATATTAAATAGATTACTTTGTATTTTTTTTAAGGTGAAGTAATTTATTAAATAAAAATAAATATAAAAAGATAAAATTATTTTAAAAATAAGTAACTATTTTATTATAGGTAATATTTGATTAAAATAATTATAATTTTTAATAATAAAATGTCATATATTTTTTAAAAGAAGAAAAATAAAACAAAAATAAATTAAATTTATTTTTGTTTTTTTTTTTAAAAAAAAAATTGAAGACAGTTTTGGAACTAGTTAAATGAAAAATACTTATTCAAACAAATTTTTTTATTTTTTAAAAAACAAAAACTAGTTTTAAAAGGTAGAAAAACAAACATGCTGTAATATTCTCACTCTACTGAACACAGTTAACTAATATAGCTTCTAGTAATCAAAGATTTAACTCAAAAAGATGATTACCAAGCTTAATACAAATTCAAGGGATCCCAAATTTTTTAAATAATAATGAGTTTATAATAATCAAACCCTTTATATCAAAGTAAAAATAAGATTCAGAAGTATATATGATACCTCAAATGAGTGAAAGAAGTCAAAAACAAGTGAAAAATGACTCTTATAATGTGTGACAGAGCAGTGCACTGCAGCTCATGCATGCTGCACCACAGTACGTTGCTCTCTATGTCACGTACTGCAGCTCAAGCGCCATGTGCTGCGGCGTGTTGCACGAAAATTTAACTAATTCTGCTATCATTTGATAGCATAATCTAGAAATTTCTGACGTGCCCCGATTCTCTATCCGACATTCGAATGATGTGATCTAAGTGTCTATGAAAAGCTCTTTATATGAATTAGCTAATTGCATGAGTTTTATTTTCAAAACAAGTCATACTAGAAGGTTAAACACCTAAACACATTTTAACCATTTTGTACAACTTTCATACAAAATGGGTATCCAAAACTTTCAACATATGTCAAAAGTCTTCCCTAATACCTGGACCATGTCCATTGGACTCAAGACTACCAGTACAACACGTCACACACATTGAAACCATAGAATAATAGAAATTCACTCATCAACCCCTTTGTACCAAAAACAAAAGAGGAGGTAAATTGTCATTATTTTGCATTTAATTCGATCCAAATATGTTCAAATCATCATTTCTACGCTTGCACTAGTATTTTAGTCCTACAACATATGTATCTCAACATACACAAATACTCAGGGTTTAAAAGATAAATTTAACATTTGCAATATCAAAATAGTACAAGTGTGATGGCATACATCCTAAAATTGACATTAGATACTATTACACAAAATAAATTTAAGTCAGAGGTATATAGTAGGAATATGCTAATTTCTAACCTCTTGAGCCTTCTCCCTCTTTACACCAGAGCTAGAGCCTGAAAAGTGTTAAATAAAAAGGGTAAGTCTAGTCACTCATTATCTAAGGTTAAACCTACCCTATGTAGTTATATATCAATTATAAATAAAGTACATGCATAAGGAACCAAGTATGTAAAACATGCTCACACATATCATAATTTGTCATTTTTAATAACTTCTTTAACTCACATATACTAGGTGTATTATCACCATATTCTCAAATATGTGACCTTGACCTGTTATTTACGCGACTTGCTATAACGTAACACGTGTGACACGTCATATATTTATATAGTCAATGATCAACTAACCTTATACCCTCTTTATTTTTTTCAGACTGAATCCATGAGCTATAACATTGAATTGGATTCTGTTCGTGTGACTAGACTACCCTTATCATCAACGGGCATTAATCTTAACAGAAGGAGTTATAAGAATCTCGAGTTCAGGTCTATGAATGTAAAAAAAAAAAAGAAAAAAGAAAAAATTACTTTCAATTGAATTTAACAATACTTGAATATGATCAAGTTAAACAAACATATTAAAAAAAAAAAACCCAATCTACTTCAACTCCATGAATGGAAAGTTTATTTTCTATCTCATTTTCCATGTGTATATCTCCAGACAATTCTTGCCACTTGCTACATTTGTCACACAGTTACCATACCAAGCTAACCTGCGTGGCATTCATGGTGTATGGACCACGTACGTTTTGGCCGAAACAATCCTGTAATTGCAATTCCAAACACAGCCTTACTAGGAATATCCCTATTTGAAAACGGTTATGATGACTATTTTTGTGTAAGAAAAATGAATCGCTAAATTAGTATCCTGGTCCAGGCCAAGCTATAATACTTCTTTCGTAATAGGGCCGCTCATCATCGTTCTTTTTTTTTTTTTTTTTAACCAGAGGGCCATTCAAAAAATATATAAAAGAGAGAAAACCTACGAGCTATAGGTTATAGAGAGTTCAGCATAAACGAACAACACAAATTGCCCACTTTAATGAAGCACCAATGAAAAATGAAAATTAGTTTCATATTACTGAAATTCCTCAGCCTCAGAAAGTCTCAGAACAAGATCATCAAAATGCCTATAAATAACACCATCCAGGTCAACATATAACTCACCTGATCTCCATCTTCTTTAATTTTCGTAATGGGGCTTCAGTTCCTGTTCTTCCCCAGCTTTTGCACGCCTCTTATGAGTAGTCTTCTCTTCATCGTGTCATTGATCACAATCCTATTCAGAACCAGCAACAGAACTCAGAAGAACCTTAACCTTCCCCCAGGGCCACGGATGCTTCCTTTTCTGGGAAGCATGCACCATCTTCTTATTGGCTCTGAAAACCAACCCAACATCACCCTCAGAAACTTAGCCCAAAAGTATGGCCCTCTCATGCATCTCAAGCTCGGAGAAAGATCAACCATCGTGGTTTCTTCCCCTGATGTTGCCAAACAAGGGTTCAAAACCCACGACCTCATATTTGCTCAAAGACCCAATCTTCTCAGTGCAGAGATCTTCCTGTACAATTCCACTGAGATTGCTTTTTCCCCCTATGGACTCTACTGGAGGCATCTGAGGAAACTATGTACGCTCCAATTGTTCAGTCCCAAACGAGTAAGATCATTCCAATCCATAAGGGTAGCAGAAGTGGGAAAACTTGCAAGAGACATTTCTATGAACATCGGGCGTGCAGTGAACCTGGGGGAGAAGATCTATGCAATGACGTTCGCAATCGTTACAAGAGCAGCTTTTGGGGATACGTGTAAAGATCAAGAGGCGTTTATTTCGGTTGTGAAGGAGATGGTTACGATGGTTCGGCTTCAGGGTTTCGCTGTCAACGATCTTTTTCCATCGAAGAAGTGGCTTCAGGTGATCACCGGAGAGAGGCGGAGATTCGAGGAGATTCACCGGAAATGTGACGCCCTGCTTCAGAAGTTGATCGATGAGGGAGTGTCAACGAGTGGGGAGGGAGAAGAAACAGAGAGTCTTCTGTATGATCTGTTGAACTTGAGAGATCGCAGTGGACCAGAAGAATCTCGCTTGACCATCAACGACGCCAAATCTGTAATTCTGGTAATAAACTTGGCACGCAAGGTTTCGCGTTTATAAGTTGTTATAACGTGCTTTTCGTGTCAGGGATAATCATCATTCTAGAATAACTCTTGCATTGCTATTTTGTCATGTTAGATATCTTTTTTGATTAAGTTGTCATGTTAGATATCTTATTAACTAAAGAGTATGATTTATTATAAACTAGATTTTAGCGCACAAAAAATTTAATCCTCTAATTGATTTGGGAGGAAAGAAGAGAAAGAAGATGATTCTAATGAGTTCAATTAATCCTCTAATTAATTTGAGAGGAAAGAACAGGAGATAGATGATTCTAGATCCCACATTTTTTTTTATCATATCGGTAGATACTTTACAATATGATGAGAAAGATAATATAAGATTAAAATAATTTATGGGGTACTGTAGAAAAACCAATAAAAATAGGGTTCCATTTCTATGCTTAGTGATAAGATGAGCGTTGAGTACTCATCATTTAAACGGCCTCGTTTTGACTGATAGGAGAAATGATGCTCTTCTCGATCTTAAGTCAAGTGAAAACTTTCCCTAAGATAGAAAGGAAAAGTGAAAAGAATTGGCTTGAGACTATTTTCATGGGATCCATCACAACTCTTGCACTTGCATCTTTGAATTTATATGAATCCAGAATTTTTTATACATACATACATATATATACATATGTATATGTCTGTGTATATGTATATATATGTATATATATCACTCGATTCGAACAAAAAAAGAGGGATTATATAAATAAGCAATAAAATTGTTTTACTAAATAAAACTAAAGTTCTAAAACAGTTTTTTAGAAAAAAATTAATTATTTAGTATTTTTAATTTTCACTTAATTATAACTTAATTCTTAATTAATAGTCTTTTTGAGAGAAAATTAATCATTTATTTTTTATAATATTAATTCAGTTGTAATTTAATTTCAGTACTTTAACTTGGTACAACTCAGTTTTTATAATTTTAATTATTTAAAATATTATTTTCTATATTTTAAAACATAAAATTAAAATTTTAATATTTATAATATGTATAAAGGTTAAAAGTTTTAGCAATTTAAAATACCAATCCCTAAATTTTAAACTAATTTTAAGTTTTATAATTTTATTTTTTAAAATACAAAGATCAATATTTTAAATGGTTAAAATTATAAGAACTGTGTTTACATTGAGTTATAGTTCAGAAATTAAGATGCAATTATCAAAATTATGAGGATAAACATAACTTTTGATCCATGCACTTTACTTACATTTTGCTTTTGACCCATGTACTTTACTTGCCTTTTATTTTTGATCCCTATACTTTTTTTGATGTTTTAACTCTTTATATTTTTATTTTTTATTATTTTAAATTCTTTCAAAGTCCCTATATTTTATTCATAGAGGGATTGAAAATAATAAAAAATAAAAATATAAGCACTTAAAATACCGAAAAAAATATAAGGATTAAAAGCAAATTATAACTAAAATACATGGATTAAAAATTATATTTATTCAAATTATAAAAATTAAATTATAATAAATTAAAGTTTAGATACTAAGATACAATTGAGTGAAAATTAAAAGGACAAAATAATTTCTTCTAAAAGAAATTGTTTTGAGAGTCTTGGATTCATATAAATTCAAAGATGCAAATGCGGGAGTTATGGTGCGTCCCATGAAAACAGTCTCAAGCCCATTCCTTTCACTTCTTTTTTCTATCCTGGGGAAAGTTTTGACTTAAAATAGAAAATAGCGTCATTTCTCCCATAAGTCAAAACGATGCCGTTTAAATGATGAGTATCCAGTGCTCATCCCAACGCTGAGCACGAAAACTGAACCCAAAAAATATTGTAGAAAGAACAATAGTTTCAATGGAATTTACAAAAGTAAAGATTCTTCCAATATGTATAGATCTAATTCGTACTTAAAACTACAATAATATACAACATTTTCTATAAACTTCTTTGATTTAAAATATAAAATATTGAATAACTTTTATAATTATTTTTTTAACTATACTACTCCTTCATTTGTTATCTTTTTTATAAAATGATGTATTGAAGTTTTAATTATCATTTTCAAAGTATTTATATAAGATAATTAATGAGGTTATAATCAAAAAAATATACATTTTTCATAAATTAAAGTTTCAGCTAACTTTTTTTAAAAACTGTAAATTAATTATCAATGTCATATATTTTGATCCGAAGGTAATAATTATATCCTCATTAGGAAAAATTGAGCAAATGTCTCAAGGTCCTTATAAATTTTTCAATGGTTTATTGTCCTTCAGGGTCAATATCTCCTAGAGGGAAAAGACTTAAATACCCTAAAGTGAATTGATGCAACAATAGGAAAAAGGAAGAATCTCAGTTATAGCCCTCATAGCACAAAATTTTGTATTTATGATCTAATACAATCTAAAAACTCTCTGCAGGTCCCAAGGCTTTAAGTAAAAATATATTTTAACAAAAAAATCGTATTACAAGATATTGTGTTAAGAATTTATGAATATTTTATTGTGCATATATAAACATTTTGTTATTTTTTTATTTTATGCAACTTCTATATTTTAAATTAAATAATTTCTATTAGACCAATTGTATATTATAGGACATTATGTTCAAATTTTATGAATATTGTGTTGTGCATTCATGAAGAAACGGAAGGCAAATGCATCTTTTCTTGTTAAAACATATTTTCACATAAGGCCCTTGAGTCTACAGAAAGTTTTCAAATTATATTGGATCTTAAATACAAATTTCTGTGCCTTGAAGTCCTAAATAAGATTCTCCCCATGAAAAAGGATAGGAAAATGCATTTTTGTGCTTTCGCTTATGTAGATATCAATACTAAAGGACCAAGGATGAATAAAATATTTTAATAGGACCATGGGACTTTTGCCCTAGTATATGGACTCATGGTCATTCTCTCCAATTTTTCTCCACTTTAATCATTTTTTACTTGTATAACACTTTCTCATAGAGAAGAGGGGCATGCATGTACATTACTCACCTCCCCAACCAGATATGAATGTTGGGGGCAAGCAGCACAAATTTTTTGTTGAATTTGCATTATTTTCCTTTGTTAAATGCTAATATTAAGTTTGGCCACCCATTATAATATAGTTTTACATGGTGATCCCTCCATTGATTGGGTTCTATATCCGTCCTGTACCTAGCGCATATAACATGCAGTACGTAACACCTAACTAACACCCCCCCTGAACACACACACACCCAAATCCCCATTTTGGGCCTATAGGGAATAGGAGCCGTAAATCCTTACATTAAGGAAAAAGGTTCATGTCATTTAACCAAATGATTCTTGACCATCTCTTTACTCTAATGGTATTTCACGAAATATTTGATAAGAAGTGCTACCTATCTAGAAGTATGAAAAAAGATTGTGGTTTGGTGTTCTAGCTATATATGTTGTGCCCACATCTCCAAATCCACTATCTCTATAGCATTGCATGTGACACTAATTGAATCCGTATAGATATAGGTCTACTTCTTACCATGCGGACCTAAAAATTTAAATTACTAAAAATTAGTGGATTTGATTGACAACCTTGTCGAAATGCAGACTTGGCGGAAATTAAAGATTTTGAACCATTGATGTTGAAGATGCTCAAATATTTGCTCATGCTGTAAGATAACCATGATTGATTCTCAAATCCACAGGACGTGTTCATTGCTGGAACTGAAACATCATCTACACTGTTAAAATACGCAGTTCTAGAATTGCTGAGAAACCCAGAACTGCTAAAGAGGGCGCAAGCAGAAGTGAGACAAGTGTTCAACAAGCAAGGTCATGTGAGAGAAGAAGAGCTTGATGAACTCAAGTACATGAAAGCTGTGTTGAAAGAGACCATGAGGCTTCACCCTCCATTGCCATTGCTGGTTCCAAGAGATAGTAGTGAGAGTTGTGAGATTAATGGATTCACAATACCCCCAAAAACCCAGATGCTTGTGATTGCATGGGCCAGTGGGAGGGATCCAACTCGGTGGGACAGAGCAGAAGAGTTTGTGCCAGAGAGGTTCTTGGAGTCTGAGATTGATTATAAAGGTCTGAACTTTGAGCTCATCCCTTTTGGGGCAGGAAGGAGGATTTGCCCTGGAATCACTCTTGCTCTTGCTAATGTTGAGCTTCCTCTTGCTAATCTTCTGTTCCACTTTGACTGGCAACTTCTTGATGAGCACACAGCAACTCTTGATCAAGATCTCTTGGCCGTTCCTGTTTCTTACCATCATGCCCCTTCTTTAGGGGAAAGTTACATCTAGGTCTCTCAAAATATAATTAAATAACAAGAGGTCTATTAATAACTGACTAAAAATGATAATTAAAATAATTGTCATTTTGCTCTACTCAAATGTCAATAGAACTTGTAGTATTTAATTATCTTGTAGGAAATTTGGATGTAATTCTTCCCCTCTTCAATCTCGCAAGGCTGTTAATCATTAGTATGTATGTATGTTACTATAAAGTACCCTTAACTACCTCTAGAATTAAGGAAGGGTGGTAAGTTATTAATTTTGTCTAAAAATAAAGTAAGGAAACTTTCAATTTTACCCCTATTTAAAGAAAAAAATTTTAAATGCGCATTACATTTTGGAAATATACATATTGCTGCACTATTTTTAGAGTCAATGTGGCTACCAGCTTCCACATGTAGAATTCAAGTTGATTGTTAGGTTGAGTGAAAAAGATTTAACTCTTTAAAACCAAAAAAAAAAAAAGGTCAATGACTTGAAAGTGAGTGAAGTTATGTTATAGACTAATAGTAGAGCTATCATAAACTAAGCCTGATGAGAATGCTTATATTTAATTTGGTAGCACCAATTATTAGATGATTAATGCAAATCGCTTCTGTCACTTACGTTTTTTTATCAATTTGATAGTGTGATGATGGGGTTGTAGTTTTTCTTTGGCCGAGATTGGATTGTAACCATTTAAATTTCAAACTGATGTGTTTTAGAAGAATAGGGTCTTCAGTTTCAGATGTGTTGTTCTATGTAAATCCTGTACACAACGAGATTAAATTAGTGAGTTACATGTATCAATTGGGAACGAGGGTTAATTGTGGAGAACGTGCTCTCCGTTTCCTCTATCAAACAAAAATGCATTAATGAAGAAACAAAAGTTGGTTTACGGTTCGAGGGCATACACTGCCACTCCCCTTTGCAGTTTACATCAAATGAATTAAGTCCGTCCAAAGTAAGATCAGTAATATTCAGTCGTTCGATTCGGAGAAGAGGACATTGTATGCTGACATGGCAAAAATCCCCACTCACTGAATCAAATAGCCACGATTCACTTACTTGAGGTTTAGTTCCGATAAGCTTAACTGACGCTATCTTAATGGTAAAATTAGATCCCATAAATCTTCTTCACCTTCTTTTCACCTAAGATTTTTTTTTTTGTGGTAAAATTCTTTTCACCTAAGAAATTTGTTTGCCCTATTTGCCCAAATTTTAAAAAAAAAAAAGTTTTAAAAGAAGAAAAACAGAGCAAAAAGAAAATTGTAACAGAAGCTATAATGTTCCCAGCTTATAGATAGTGATTCCTTATAGCTTCTATATTTTGTATGATATGATTTCTATTGTGTGATCAAGCAAAGATTTAATCATTAGGATTTAAAGAGTGCCTTGTTATTCAAGACATGAGTTCATTGTGGTGGTCGCTTTGAGGAGCACAGGCGCAATCAAAGGGCTTGGACTCCGACAGCCACAACGGTTGGAAAGTTTATAAGAAAAGAAAAGGGACTTTCTCACGTAGGAATGTCAAAAAAGTAAGCATATCATTCTTTCACTCAGAAAAGTTGCGTGCAAATATCTTGACCCCTACCAAGCCCTTTAACACTATTGCCAAGATACATCACTTTTGAAATCCTCGCAGGAGTTGCATCATCAAACTCTACAAGAATTATCAGAAAAACCAAGACCTTCATGTCGTACACTAAAAGGTCAAGTGGTGAAATTATTGTCAAGATACACGACTTTCGAAACTTCAGCCAGAAATGCATCATCATACTCTACCAAGAAGTAAAAAAGGGCAATTAACAGATAGATAATACCTCCAATTACATCATCATGTCACCTCCTCTCGAACTGAGATTCATGGCAATGTGGATCTAACCAGTCCTTTTGGGACCCCTTTGACATACTCCTACTTTCTCTACCACCACCACCAACAAGCTCTCTCAGATTATCTATCTTATTCTCCCTGCCTGCTCCACTACTAGTCTTCTTATCAGCTTCTTTCAATTTCTGCTTCAATCGATGCTTTCGGCTCATCGAGTTTAGCTCTTGCTGTTTTGAGTGAGATGGAGGTGCTCCGTGAGGTCCCAGATAGATGTTCTCTTCCTTCTTAGGCTACACAGAAACAAATACTGTAAGCGTCACATCATACAGCGTGTACAACCAATTCCATCATCTACCAGCACCAAATTTATGAGTCATCTTTAATTAGAAACAAGGCAAGAGCTTCAGCTGACCTGTGCAGGAGAATTAGAGGATTCTATGACAGGAGCAGGTCTGCTTTCATCTGGGTTTCCAATTCCCAAACTTGGAATCACAAATCCATCAGTGTCTACAACCATATAAAGCCACAGATGACGAGTGTATGTCTAGCCAACAAGGCCATCCCAGTTTAGTAAAAATAGACTTGTAAACATTAGACAGAGTTTTTCCATTATTTTTTGTGAACACATTAGACAGTTAAAATGCACAGTATCTGACACATTAGAAAATACTAGTCCGTGTACCAAACATTGCCTATGAATAGTATATTCTGAGGCAAAACTGTCAAGTCTATGAATATTAACATATATTTGGGATTGTCTAGGCAGAGGTGAACATGGTTTTGAATGTATCTAGTATTTTTCTTTTATTTTTCTATTACAAAACGAATAATTTAGATTTTCAAGTGTTAATTATTTTGAAAACTACATGCCAACAACAAAAATGAAACAATGTGTTATGTACGAGAACTGCTGATATCTTCATTCGAGGATATTATGAATTATGAACCAGAACTGAGTAAAGAAAAAACATTAATAAAGGAAATAAATAAGTCAAAGACAACCATTTAAACAATTTTGTATGAAAGTGACATCAAATTGGCCATTTTAACCATATTGGTTCGACAAAGGGTAATGGGCTATGACCTCAAAGAACAGGAAATATGTGGACAAAGAGCATCAAGGTGATGGAGGGTATAAAATGTCCATACTTCACAAACTCACAAACAGTAAGGAGATAATAATGCATTTCACAGTCAACCTACAATGTGATTTACACGAATTCCGCCCAGATTTAATAATCCATAAAAACTCAACACAAAGCAGACAAAACAAAATAACTTGGCGTATTAAACTCTGTTCTATTCAAATCGAGAAACCAAAACTTAAAGAATAAAAATATGAAGATAAAATATTCATCCATCCCAACTCTGTTACTGCCCTATCCATGTGGGAAAAAAAAAAGAAAAAAGTGAATCGACGGAATTGAAGCAAGATACAATACCCCACTCATCTTCTTCATGATCAACTGGAGGCGTAGTTGGGTGCACCGGGTCCATGGAGGCTGATGACCATGGATTTGAACGCTTAGAGGACGTTGAAGTCCGAACAGTAACAAGAAAGAGCGATGGATCAAACAAAAATCCACCAAAACGAATCTCGATAAATAAAGGTTGAGAATGGCAGGGTATTCCAATAATTATAAAATCCCAAAGCTAGTGAACAAGATGCTCGCTTTATGGAGGGAATCGCGAGAGTAATTAAACCCTAGCCCTAGGGTTTCAGTGTTCAGGTTTATGGGGTGATTTGAAAGGCTCAAGGGACCAAGGGTAGTTTCGTCATTGCACATTAAAGCGTCATATCCCGTGTTTATGCTTTATAGAGGATGCGGTAAAGAATAAAGATTTGCAACTGAAAGCGGTGACCGCCACCAGATTTGGGTGGTTGATACAAGATTTAATTTAGTTTCCATTTAATATAAATGATAGACACAATTATTTATATAATTGTTAATTATTATTTATTAATATTACTTCCAAAAAATTTAAAACAAGTCAATATGTTCACAATAAAGGAGCCTTTGTTTTAGTTTTATAATAAAAAAGTTCCTTATTTTTTAAAAAATTATTTTATGATATTTTTTTAAATTTTTAAAAATAATCAGAATCTAAAAAAATAAATTTTTAATTATTTTAAAAAAATTAATGCGATAAACAGGAGAGAATATCATATAAATTTTAAAACTGTAATTCCAAAACAATTGGGAAATTGATCGATATTAAAATTACACTAAGAAAAATACTTTTTTATTTTGTCTCTCACAAAAAATTATTGTCTAATTTCATTCTCAATAAAAAAAATGAATATCGACAAATATTGTTCATTCAGTACTTCACTTCAAAAAAGAAAAACATATATACACATACATATGCCATCCGTATCCTTTTTAATTGTAAATTATAAGATGTAATCAATAGGTTATGGATGTGACTTATAATAGTCCTGGTGTTATGATAAAATTTGAATCTTTCATTGAATTTTTTTCGCTATACATTTAACATCAATCAAGTTTAAACACTGTATTTGTAAGTCTAAATATTTGTATTTTATAAAATAAAACATAGTTGAACCGTTGAAGTGTTCAAATAATTTTTTAACTATCAAACAATCGTCCCATTGACAAAATTATTAGGGGCACGTGTTTGTGCATCACTTTCTTTGTTCTCTATTCTGACCTTGGATACACTAGAAGTTTCAAAGTCATATGTTAATACTTTTTATTCAAGAGTTAATCTAAATATTGGTTAATTTCCTTTGCTCTTTTGTTGATTTTGTTGTTATTTGTTGCTCATAGATTTGTTTCCAGGTGAAGACTTTTGACTTCACAACAAAATGGCTCACACAATTGAATGGGTTGTATTAAAGGTTCATAAAAAAAAAATTAAAGGCATTGAATTCTATTAAAAAAGAACGCAGCGAGCAATGGAATGTAGTATATATAGGGTTCCATTCAAACTTTTATAATATTAAAAATATGAAACATTAGTTACTATAAGAAAAACATTTAACAAAATGTTAAATAAGATGTCTCCTTATTTTTTTTCAGAATAATAAAACTTGTAATCTCTCATCTTTAATTTAATTTAATTATTGATTTGGTCCCTCAAATTTTATTTTTATCAATTTTAGTTTCTTAAGCTAACTTCAATTATTATTGATCCTTATTATTTAAAAAGAGATAAAACTATTAAATTTACTGATATGAATAATAAAACACGAATGGCAATCATATAGATAAATGAAAAAATGTATTTATTTAGGTGGGAAAAAACAAAACCATAAATTTAAAATAAAAAAAAATAAAACATTATATAAAAAACTAGATTGATAAAAGTCAATTTATTTTCATTTAATTAAATATACATGCAAAGTGATCAACATAATTTACATATTATATTAATTTGAAAGCCAATTTTTATTTCAAAAATTAAGAGTGGCATAATAATTTTAAAAAAAAACATAAAAGAATGAATTAATAATAATTAAATGCGAGAGACACAATCAATAATTAAAGTAAAATTAAGAGGCTCAAAATTTCATTGTCATCTATTAATTCTTCATGGGCTTTTCGGACAATCGAAGAGTTCAAAGGGCCACATGAACATGGAGCACCGGAAATTTGCTTGTCTGTTTATCCTTTTTTTTATGATTAATTGTTTAAATACAACAACAATGATTTCATCTTCTTCACGGGCAGGAGCTCATCATTAACATTGAGATTCTATGTCTCAGTAATCCAATTCCTTTACGCAAGAAATGAGCTCATCAACAGTCAAAAGAACCTCTTCCACATTCATTACATTTGCTCTATGCTTCCCTTTTCCTTCAAACAAAAAAAAAAAAAATTATGAGTAGATTATACCTTAATCTGCTCTAAATCTTCTTCATCTACTTTATGTTTCTTTTGTGTTCTGAATCAGTTCCTCATGAGAAAGTTGATTAATTTTTCTCTATGCTAATTACATGCACTAACACTGACACAAAAGAAAGCTAAAGTGTATTTTTAATCTTTTAATTTTTTTAAGATTTTAATTTAGTCTCTAATTTTATAAAGTATATTTACAATCTCTAAACTCTAATGCCGTTAATTTTAAATAATTATTTTTTATCTCAATCATTGTTATTTTAAAAAATTAAATTTAAGATATCAACATTTGAAAATATTTTGTCAATATTTAAAAGTTTAATGTAATTTTTTTTTTGCAATAAAACTAACTGTAATAATTACTTTTTCTCTAATTTGCTTAAAGTCATTGAAAGTTTATATAATTAAGAAGCTTACAATGAGGTTGAGACAGATTGTGTGAATACTATTCAGCTTTTAAGTTGTTACCATTTCGCGCAGCATCTCATGGCCCTTGTGTTACTGTAGGTCATAACTTCGCCAGAGGTTTGATGCTAGAGGAATGGACACTATCCGACATTGTGACCACAAGATATCTCCAAAGAATGGGCTTCCATTATAGCCACTGCCATGATTTGCAGAAACATAAATGCAGATGCCTTTGAATCTAGTCCTCAGAAGTAGACAGCACTTAAATATAATCTCAAGTTCAAACCCTGTATCTATGTTTTGGTAATTGGCATGGCATCTGTGCTACCAAATTATGTTTTGTGAGAAGCAGCAGTAACTAGTTCAACCAAAGCCATGATTTTGAGGCATTGAAAAACTCTTATATTTTTACGCAAGTACATGTGTAAAAAAATTTTAATTCAATTAAAACTTATAAACGACACTTATCTTATAAGACTCCCTGATGTAGAGTGCATGAAGTGGTATTCATACTCCATTCCATAGTACCGATGTTATTTTAGGTGATTAACATGTTGGATGAAAAAGTCCTTTAAACTTGTAAACCTCACTTATTTTAGAAACTTCCTAATGTAGGACTTATGTCATAAATATTAATTACTTGTTAGCAACCTGGTAATTAGTTAAAGTTCCTAGTTTTACATGGGTCTTCTTACATTATACTCCATATGTCATTACTCATATTAGGTCAATGTATTCAAGATTGTGCTCTTTAAGCTAGTTCATCTAACCAGATACCACCATTTTTTATGTCTCCATATCTGATACTATACTGGGGACAAATTTGACAGAATTAATCAGCTTATACATGCATTAGTTAGTGTTTATTCAGCTGAGTGAGTACTTCTATAGTATTACATACGACAGAAAGCTGGAACTTTTTAAACTAATGCTTATTTCCCGGGAAAAGGTTTGCTTTCCAGCTTTGAAAAGGCATTCTTTTGAGAAACTCGTTGTTGCTTTGTTCCTCATTTTGATTAGGCAAATTTCTGAAAATGGGTTTTGTTTGGTTGTGGATAAAACACAAGGATGAAGCAAGAGGGACGAAGTTTCTGGTTTTGAATGGCCTGGTACTATAAAACTCTGCTTTGTGGGGACGACTCAGGCTTTGTCTCTCGCACATGCATTCCTCAACTTCGAGGCTTCGAGGTTGTGAAACGTTGATGGAAAACAAATTTGCCTTCACTATCTCCAAGAGAGAAACAGTACGTAGGTTTTCTCGCTGAGATTACCAAAATTAATATCACCCACTTCAGGTATGATCTCTGTGAAGAGGAAGAAGCTTTAAAGAGACGAATGCAAGTTCACTCCTTTAATCTTCCCATTCTGAAAGTCTTCAACTTTTTGCTTGTGATTGTGAAGCTCTGTTTCAAGCATTCTCACAGCTTTTGCAGAGAATGATCATGGAGCAAGAACACAATCCACAGCAAAGCTCCGCCAATCTTTGTTCATGTTTAGGTTCATTAGTACTCTCAACTATTCTGGTTTTGTTCCTTCTTTTTTCTCTCTTCCTTTTCTTCCCACTTTCTGAATCTTCTTGGCCTGTTCTTCTCACTGTGCCTATGGTTGTCTATCAACACTTTTTCTTCTTGTCACAATGAGAAAGAAAAAAGGGTCTGAAGATGAAAGTCTTGTTCAGGAGAAGATGCAGAAAGAGGAGTTATTACACGCAGAAATTGCTCTGATCAATGAGCAAGAAGCTGAATCCCAGTCAGATTCATCTTTCCCATCTGATAGTGAAAGTAGCAGTGGCTCAGACATGGATGAACAGTTTGAGCTAAATGCTAAGAATCCATCACTCTCATCAGATGGTGAAACTGAAAGCATCAATGACTCGGACATTGGTGAAAGTTTTGAACTTGATCAGAGTAGTACTAGAGTTCTGGGAATCTATGAAAGTTTAGCATCTGACAATGATGATGAAGATGAAGAAGAAGATAGTTTGATTGAAATCAACCTTCCGAGCAGCCATTTCTCTGGCATAAGTAAAGAACATGAGCAGAGATTGGAATCAAAGTTGCCAGATTTTCTACCAGAAGCCATGTTCAAGCAGGAAGTTCTGATGGAGCTGTTGGCAGAGATTAATGAGATGAATGAGGATGAAAATTTGATAGAGATTGATATTTCCATGGGATCATCCAGCACAACCACACGTCAAGATTTGAGATTGAAGCAGCAAATTCCATCCTCAGAAGATTGGTATAGTACTCATACTGATTGATGATTTCTTTACTTTTTCAATCTTTAGCTTCCATTTTCATGTTCAGGTTTTAGTTTTTTTCTAATGTCATGTAAAATTTTGTGCTTTCTATCTTCACAATAACTACATTATCTTCTACTTGTTGAAACTGATACCATTTCTCCGTCAATTGTTCTTTGATTCTTTTTTATTTTTTGAATGAAAAGTGAATTTCATTTAAAACAACCAACTATATAATCAGGAATTAGCCTTTAAGAGCCAAAAAAGCCAACAACAAAACCATCATTCTTTGATACTTTAACAAACTTAAAAAGTATCCTTGGTCACGGGACAATAAAAAATATATATTGATATTGGCTAGTATAATTTTAGGTGAGCCCTTGGACTTCTATTCTATGAAAATTCCGCTGGGAACAGTGAAGATAAAATGATTAGATGTTGTTGGGATGTGTCTAAGCATGGCATGGAATGCATAAAGAAGGTTTTATATAGACACACACACAGTAGGGGTAATCAAATTCTTTTGCTTCCACTTTTACATTACTAAACCAAAAAAAAGAGTCTGTTTCATTCTTCTTCTTTTTTAATATACGCCACAGAAATTTAGGTAAATTAGATTTCTAGAGCTTACTAAAATCCAAACATACCTTCAAATTTTAAAAACATTTACAAAAATATTTATAAATTACTCACCAATAAAATTCTGTATTAGCAATAGGATTTGGTCTCACAACCTTGAACCTTGTGAGTTATAAACCAAATCCTCATCAAAACTAATATTTCTTCATAAAATCTCTCTCATTCTTATTCTTGCCAAATTTGAACCTAATTTTCTTTTCACCCTATAAATCCGCTTAATGATTCAGCTGTTATTTGAGAGGAAACCAAAAAACAAATCAAAGATATGATATCTTCATATTAGACACCCTTTTTCTCGAGTGATGATTTGTTCATTTCATTATGAGCCATATGCTTTACTTTTCTTTACTAATCTCTAGAAGCTTGGTATGGGCCAAGTGAGACCAGATTATCATTAACATGGCGCTTAATGTTTGTTCTTCTAGACCAAGATTGTCCCGTAGAAATTATTAAAAAATAACAAATTAATCTTATTTATTGCATATGATTAGTGTCAAGAAAAATAATATGTACCTACACCTAGGAGGATAAGACCAGGTTCGATCTCAACCCTGGCCAACCCAACTTTGGTCATTAGGACCAATTTGGCATGTCGAGTAGAACCAAGCCTGTCAAATTAGTTGAATAGATCTACTAGAAATGATTCCATGCCAAAAATAATTATTAGCGTGTGATTCCCATTTGCGAGAAGACCCAAATTTTTCTTTCTTTATTTTCCATGTGATGAACTTCTCAATACGAGTCATTTTTAAGTAGAAAATGCCACAAAAAATAGAAATTTGCAAGGGAAAATTTTAATTTATATTTCTAATGAATAAAAAATCCGCCGCAAATATTAAAAATTTGCAAAGAATAACTTCGATTCCACATATCCTTTATATATATAAATTAATAATTAGTCATTAGTTTAAAAAGTTAATGCAATCATCACGGTAGCTTTCTATTTTGGAGACCCGCTATATTAAGAGGTGAACATGAGAAGTGGTGCCGCAGATAGGTTTAGTTGGGCTGTATTCGGAAGGATGGCCCAAAGCTTGTCAATTTTGTTTTTGAACCCAGGCCTTAAAAGAATTTTTTATGATAATTTTGAATCTTTTAGAAAGAAAAAACAAAAGGAAATTAAAGTCAATTTTTTGTCAAGCCCTTCATCATCCTTTTCACAGTGCCCATCATTCTCTTCAATAGTCTTCATAGCTCATCAATATGCCATATTCTGCGGAGCCCTTCTTTTTCCTTATTTTATCACATCGTATTGTACCCTTAGCATTGTTTTATGTCTTCTTATTTATATTAGTTTATTTATTCAGTGCATAAAAAAAGTTATAATATATATATATATATATATATATTGGAGGACCTCCTATAGTCAAATATAAAAAATACAATCGTGACCCAAATAATCCAAAATATATGTTACATATTGTTTGCACCTAAATTGTAAATTTAGAGGTCCTGGTCAATTCAACTTAATTGCTTTAAAATAATTATATAAAGAAAGAATATTTATGAAGTATTAGCCATTAAGTCAAATCCATCACCCATGATGAGTGAACATGATGGAGGAAGTGCTTCCTAAATTCAAGAAAGTGGCAATCATGAGGCTGCAGGCACCAAGTCAAAATCATCTATAAATAAAGAGCTCTCTTCTCAATCAAATCATCATCAACATCATCAACAAACTACTACCAGTTTCAGACTCTGCATCTATTACTTTATTTTTTTCTTTTTATCATGTAGCTTTAGTTTTATTTTTTATTGTATAACCGGCATAACTCACCACCCTTTTTCTTTAATCAATGCATCTCTGCTTTTCGACATCTACATTAATTTTTTCACTTCATATTCTCACATTCGGATGAACTGTGGTAAGAGAACCCAGGTCTTTTGCGTGTGTATGGAGCCTAGGTCCCGTGTGTGTGTGCGCATCTACATTAGTGTTCTTCACTTCACATTCTCACATCTGAATGAACTCACCATTATATGAAAAATTTACACCATTAAAGCCGGTAGTATGAACTCGCCAAATAATGGTAAGTTGGATTGGCAAAAATGGTTCATATAGATGCAAGTCTATTTTAACTCTTATTGCATAACCCAAACTTATAACAAGCTACTCATAAGTTAGCAAATTAGCTTGCTTATTTTTTTGTTTTAATCTTGAAATATTTTTTGGCTCCACCTTACCTTCTATAGCTGCTTAAAAAAAAGGGATGGTTGTTGGTTATTAAAACCAAGTAAACGTTTAAATTTAATGAGCTTATTTTTTATTGATGAAAATTCCAAAAGTTAGTTTAGCCGTTCTCTAAATTTGAGCAATAAGTTCAGTTTATGCTATGTTTTAGATTCATGAAGTTGACATGTTTTTCCAGTTAAAAAATAACTTTTAATCAATAAAAATTATAAAAAAGTGAAATGAAGTAATAAAATAAAACTTCATGAACAGGGACAGCTTGTCCCAGATCTATCATAAATAATAAAAATAACCTTATTAAATATGTTAAATATCAAATTTTGTATTCTGTGATGTTTTTGAAACATCTTTAGTTTTTTTTTTTGGGGGGGGGGGAGGTTTAAAGTAAGATGACAATTTTTTGTTATCTTGTTCAATCATAAATCAACTATTATATGTATGAGAAGTATAATTCAGAGAGCGAGGACTTTAGATTTTTTTTTTGTTATTTGAAATTTGTAAAGTGTTTTAATAATTTAGAAGTAGTTTTATTGTTATTTGAAAAATTAATTTAAAAAATGATTTTGTTTACAAAAATAAAAAAACTCAAAGTGATGGATTTGTATTTTAAAACAATTTAAAAAAAGACCAACCTGCAACACACTGTTAGGGGCACGAGTTGGGAAAATATCGACCTATTAGAAAGAATTTCTCCAACCCAAGCCTTGCCAAACTTCAATCAATAAGCTGGTATTTTATTACAGCTCTACATCTATAATAGGTCCATTAAAATTTTAATTGAATATAATTTTTTATGAAAATAATTAATTAATATAATTAATTTTAATTATAATTGATTATATTATAACAATCTGTTTAATTATTGAAATTGATTTCAGCTGTACAAATTACCATAAAAAATATTGCTTTTTAAAATTAAATTATTGATAAAGTTATTTAATATTATTAAATTTGTTAAATTTTTATTTAAGAAGCAAATATATTATTTAACAGTAAAATTGAATTTATAAGTAACCTCTCATAATTTATTTCAAAATGTGATTCTAGCTCAATAATTAATTATAAATTTTTTTTTCTGTTTGGAAAATTATTAAAAAAATTGATTTACAATGGCTTGTTAGTATTCTATTGTGTAATTTGGGGGGGGGGAAACGGCATCGTTCATTACTGTGGGCCGGAGGCCCACTGTTATCTAGGTTGGTGTAAGGACAATCCAATGGATTGAATCCATGGTTCTATGCACACTTGTTTTCAAAAGAGAAGATGGGATAATTAAATCCGTGTAAATACAGGTAATATCTTTTGAGAACTACTTAAAATTAAATCGAGAAATATTTAAATTTAATTAGCCAGATAGCTATATAAAAAAATATAGAATCATATAATTTTTAGTCCTTGAATTGTTTCTTAATTATTTATTTAGTTATTAAACTTTGATTCAGTACAATTTAATTTTTATAATTTAATGAGTTGAGGAATTATATGAATGAGTTGAGTTGAGTCAAAAAATTACAAGAGCTAAATTATTTGGAGTCAATACATTGCAAAAACTGAATTGTTTATACACAAAGTTCAAAAACTTAATTGATGATCGAGAACAAAATTGGAGGACATAAAGTTATCTTTTTCCTACATGTATTTTCCTCAAATTAAACACTGCAATTTTCTTGATGAGAAAATTATAAAATAAAAAATTTATTTAAAACAGAAAAAACATTGCCTCGTGCGATTACAACTCAAAAAGAAAAAAAAGAACAAATTAAATTGACAAACAGTAATATAAATTAATTTTATGCAAGTTAACAATAATGAGCAAATTACTTTTAAATTTTATGCCAAGTAATTCCATAAACCTTAAATGTTTATTATGCAAATTGTTTCTTTAGCTTTTAAAAACAGTATAATTTAACCCTTGCCATTGACAAAAATTAATTTTAAAGATTAGTTAACTAAAAAAAATAGAAAAAGATATCAAAAATTACATGAAAGGATTAAAAAAATATAATAAAGGACTCAAAAATTACATTTAAGGATCTAAAAATCAAAGAAAGGGATAAAAAAATTTATTGATCCTTTTTTGTAGTTTTTGAAATTTTTTTTATTATTTTTTGATTGACTAATAGTTAAAGTAAACTTTTGTTATATGCAAAGGTTAAAAATTGAGGGAATAATTTATATGATAAATGAGTTTAAAATTTATAATATTATTGGATATAAATTTTAAAAAATAATTTATTCATTTATCCTTTTAAAAAAATAACAGATAACATGACATAGTAAAAAGTAAACCCAACCTAATCCTACAATGACATCAACTATAATACATTAATGG